CTTAGAACCACGAACCACGAACGAACGATCGTGCTTGTAACCGACGGCCAGTTGCGAGTTGACATTGCCATCATCTTCACGGGTCACCACATCGTCTTCTTCCTCGTCGGAATCGTAGTGTTCGCTACGCTGACCGTCATCCTGGTCCTCTTCTTCGGACTCCTCTTCCTCCTCGGCCTCAGCCTCGGCTTCGCGCTCCTCAGCGTCCTCCATGGTCAGATCCTGGAAGGCGTCCAAAACATACTCCTTCTCATTCTCCTTGACCTTGGCCCACTTCATTTCGTTCAGCTGTTCCCACAGCGCCTGCATGAGACCCTCTTGGAATCTCTCTTCCGTCTCTTGATCATGGAAGCGCAGGAGCCAAGAGTAGGCTGAACCGTCCTCGCTGTAGGCGTTGAAGATGAAGGACAAATATTCAAAGTTGAAGACAGGGTTGATATCAGCGACGACTGCCTGGCCAAGCCATTCCTTGTCGTCTCCACTAATCTGGAGCCAATATTGCCAGTCACCAACCTCGGAGACTGTCGCGGTGATATTGGCATCTTGCTGTACAAAAGTTCCAGTGGGGAAATCGAAGAGGTGCAGTTCGGCTTTCTCTTGCGCGAGAATCTCCCGGGGCTCAGGTTGCGCAGCCGACGGCGGAGCAACAGTCGATTCGTCTTGAGCAGCAGGCTTGATCAGGCCCTTCGATTTGGAATATTCCACGTCCCTCGCCATGGCAGTTGCTGCGTCGGGGGGATCGATCGAGTGGTCGCGAGACTTGGTGGGCGAAGAGATGGGACTTGCTGACGGGATGGGCTTCTCCTCTTGGAATGAGAACTCTTGCAGCTCTTCCCGAGTAGCCCTCTGCGAGCTCGTTCTATACGTCCGCTCGTACTGGCACTGAAGGGCGGCCAACTCAAAGGTGGAAACCTTGTCCGCCGGCACAGACGCGTCGCAGACAAACTCGAAGAGATCACCTACGTCGCCACTGAGGTCTCTCCAGGCCAGAATCTTGGCACCACCTTCGCGGACCTCAGAACGAAAGTGAAGGGCTTGGTCGAGCAGGAAGACCTTCTCGTCTTTATCCAAGCTGTCACTGCCTTGCTCGTCGTCGTCTTCAGCAAGCTCCTCTTCCCCTTCCTCGTAAGCACGTTGAACGACGAGTTGATATTGAAATTCTTGCCCGGTGCGTCTGATGGAGGCAGCGGCGTCCTTGAAGATAAGCTCTGAGTATCCCTTGGGCGATAGGGGGCGGACAAGGTACAGTTGTCCCTGAGGAATTTCGATGATGGATTCTTTGGAAGTGTCTCCGAAGAGGTACTTGCTCACTGAAAAGAAGAAGGGTAGATGGTTAGCATGTGATGGTGGAGGGATGATGTCAAGAGATGAAGAGGTGACCGGGGAGAGGGAAGGAGGGGTCGATGGTGGGGTCAAGTGAATGAGGAAAGTGAAAGTGTCTGATCCTGAGCCTAGACCAAAAGCTAAATGAGAGGAACTTACCATTGCGGAGCATGAACATGGCTGCAGCTGGCCGGGCGTCGGAGCAACAGTAACAGGTTGTTCGTTCGGGTGATATCAGAGGGGGGGGGATCCTGTTGCTAGGGGAGCAGGGGTGTTGATCAATCCAGGTGCAAGAGAAGTAGGAAGAGAATAGATCACTGGCGTTGCCGAGAGTGAAGAACTTCGTAGCAGTGGCAGAGAACAGTCAACGGCAGGCTGACTCAAGCCAACTGCAACTTGTGAGTGTGGGATGGCAGGCGATGCCTTGTTGTGAGTGAGGTAGAAAATAAAATGTTTTGATTTCCGCTGTTGTTGTTTTCTGCCGTCATCGAGTGGCAACGGCTGTGGCGTTGATCGATCTGTGGCTCGGGTGGCGGTGCATGCCAATCATGTGAAATTTCATCACCAGTCACAAGTAACTTACAGTACAGTACATACATTACATTCCCATGGTTCTAGCTCCAATCTAATTGCCCTCTTTGGCTTCTACTGCATCGTTTTGTTCCTCCTGCTCCTGCTCTTGTGCAACAGCATTTGCTTCCTGAATAGCCTTAGCCTCTTCTTCGGCATCTTCGTCCCCCTCTCCCTCTTCTTCCTCCTCTGCCTCATCTTCTCCATCCTGCGGCTCCCCGGACTCATTGACCGACTCTTTCAAAGTGCCGCCTTTGCGCTGGGGAATGACCTCCATAAAAGCCTTGCCCCAGTCGCCCACCTCCAACCACTTCAGCATGATCTCCACCACATGGTTCGTAGCCAAGACCTGACGGGAGGCCATCTGGATGTATTCGCCGATCGGCAGCTTGGCCGTCTTGATCCCCCGCTCGACGGCCTGTTTGTAGCAGATCCCCTTGTGGCGGTTCTTATCCACCAGTCCGCCGATGATGTAGGTACTGAACGGCTTCAGCTCCGTCAGGGTATGCGGACTGTCGCTGCTCAAGTAGACAATGTCGCCGTCCTCGGGTTTTGTGTCGGCCTTGTCGGCAAAGACGCCCTCGAACCGGCCGCCGTCCGGCACGACCATCCACTCCTTGGCCTTCTCCGCGGCCTCGACGAAGTCCTCCTCCAGGAAGCGGATCCCCTTCCAGTTCTCGTACGTCTTGGCCAGCACGGTGTCGAACCGCTGCTTCAGCAGCTTGTTGAACGAGGAGACCACCAGGTGCGACCGGAACGGCGCGCGGCTGTTGTCCGAGTACGACCGGGTCAGCTGCGAGCCGAGCGAGATGCGCTCCTTCTCGATCATCAGCTCGTCGAACCCGCAGTCGAGGATCAGCGTCAGGGGCAGCAGGGTGCCCTTCCGGAACCGCGCGGGGGTGCGCTCGTGCTCCTTGCGGAACTCCGCCTCGCGGCCCTCGTCCTTTGCGACCTGGAGCTCCGCCCGCCGGCGCTCCTTGCGGGCCTGGATGCGCTCCTTCCGCTTGACCTTGCGCTGCTCGCGCCCTTCCTCCCACTGTTCCCGGCGACGCTGGCGCTTCATGGCGCGCTTGGACATCGGGGCCGTCTCGTCGCTCGGGTCGCTCGGGGCGCCATTGTGTGCTGTTGTTGTGGTGGTGGTGGCATCATCATCGTTATCGCGGGTTTCGACTGGGGCAGTTGAGGGTTCCGACACAGGAGCCGACTCCGCCATCGTTGTGTCCTGTTGTGGTAGTGGTGGTTGTTGCGAGTCGTCGTGGTCGAGCTTGACCAACTTTCTGGGACGACCGTCTTCCTCCATTTTCTGGGAAGAAAGAACTCTTCACAATTGAGACAAAGCCCAGCAACAAAAGTCTCTCAAGACAAGCGTCCTCCAAATAGACACTGTAAATATAGTATGTTCTCTCGCCAAACCGGCCCAGCTATCCAAGAAATCCAAACTTCCGCTGTTCATAAACGGAACAATCGACAATGGCTTCAAGAACAATTGATTAATGAAATTCGGACCGCCATGGGGGGAAAGGAATACCCCACCAATAAGAACCCAGCCAGCCCGCATTACCACACCCGCCGCTCAGCACGTGACCATCACACTCTCCCAACCTCAAACCACCAACGGCATCATATCTCCAAATCGAAGCTCGGCCCGGCCGTACGGTACGACTCACCTGAACCCAAACTAATCGTCTACCCCTCTCCCAACCGATCACCATGCCTCAGGACATGCCCCCCGCTGGGGGCTACCACCAGGTGCAATACAAGGTGCGATTGACCCCTCCAAACTTCCCTGGGATATCAGCGCCAACCCCGGACGCAACCGATCGATTGCTACACCATCGATTCAAATCCCCCCTCTATATCCCAGCGCGTGCAACCTCCAATGCCCACGGACAAATCACCGCTCCCTACACTCCCCAATCTCAGCCCAGCAAGCTAACGCCTCCCTCAATGGAAACAGCGCAACGTCCCCGTCCGCGGCTTCCGTCCCATCGTCTACCTCGCCGGAATGGTCGGGGCCGTCAGCTACGGTCTGTACAAGCAATACTACTCGATGCGTGAGATGCAGTACGTCCAGTCCACCCTCCCTCTTCTTCAGCACCGCAATCCCAACCCCTCGCCAGGCGGAGAGACAGAAACAGAAACAGACAGCTTAGACCAAGAAGAAGCGAAGCGAAGCTAACAACGATCCCAGCGAACTCGGCCGCGAGAAACTCTGGGGCCGCCTGCACATCATCCCCCTCCTCCAGGCTGAGGAAGACCGCGATCAGGTCCGTCGCTACTACGCCGACAAGGCCCGCGAGCAGGAGCTCTTCGGCTCGGAGAATCGGGTGTATAACTCTGACCGGTACGCGTGCGCCCCCAACCCCCTACCTCTCTCTTTTTTTCCCCCGGTGTCGAATATCATGCTATGGTTCATGCTATGAATATGCTATGGTTCATGCTTCGGAAAACTAATAACGAAATACACCAGCTTCGTCCGCCCTACTTTCGCCTATACCCCTTCGCAGGTTACTGAGTAAACTGAAGTTTTTTGAGAATCAAATACCAAAAAAATTTGAAGACATTTTTTCTTGCTTCATGGTTTGTATTCGTTGTGTACTGTACTGTACTTTACTTAGGATTGCGAGTGTGGTTTGCTTTTTTAAAGTTTGTTCTCGTTTTTCCAAAGAGGTAGTTTCGACTCGTTGCGTCCTGGGGCGTAGCGGCGACAGAATCCTGAATTTATGAGATGGATCTTGGTTTATGCTCAATTGGGATTATCCGCCTCCACGTGGAGAGGTGAAGCCTTCGTAGCTGGCAGAGTAAAAGGTGGGTTACTGCAGCGTTCATACGAGATAAGTGACATCAAGTTAGCCGTCGTGTCGTGTTCGAGACACTGGCTATCGGCAATTATACTATGTGATCTCAACTCGGCGACTGCTGTTTGCGCTTGCCCGAATTACCTTGGCACTTCTCGCTCCCTGAACCCCAGGTGGCTTCAACAAGCTGTCTATATTCTTTAGTAATAGCTATGCAACCCGATAAAGAGGTAGCTGTAACGGCAGTGGCCGTACACTACCGCCGTACTATACAAAGGGGTAAACCGTGAAGCGGTCTTACCCCAAAAAAATCTATAAACTGTGGGATCCTAACCAAACAAATCCGCCACCCCGGACAGATCCGGTCCGTCGTTGATATCGACTTTCTGATTCTGCTGGCCCTCCATCTCACTCGTCATGTATCTCTCCTGCAGGGCACTCCGCGCTTTCCGGCGGTCCTCGCGCGAACCCAAGATCTTGCCTTGCTCAGCTATGCTGACGCCTCTCAGACTCTCTAGAAGATCCAAGATCAAGGCTCTTTGCTGTCTTGCGGCAGTTGACCTTACCAGCGCGGCCTCTGCATTGGCCACTCGCTGCTCGCTCATGCCAGGAAGGCTCAGAATCACTGCGCGCGGGGTCGGGCTGCTCGAGCCGTAGAGTACCCAGATAGACGCAATGAGCTGAGCAAGATCTTTCTGCATGTCGACAAAATAGGGCTCATGCACAGACGTGATGCAAGCCTTGAGGACCTCGGAAGAGATGAACTCGCGGATGGTGATTGTGGTAGGTGTATTGTTCGGAGGGGCAAAGTCTTGCAGGATGGAGCGAATGACACGGGTGATGATGCTGCAGCAACGGGTATCGCGCATACGAAGGGCATGGGTGCAGAAAAGCATAACTGGCTCAAATATCTCAGGTGAAGAAAGAATAAAATGCCGGATGGAGTCCGAGAGTGCCGGTGCAGGCTGCAGAGCGCTGGGATCTGCTAGCTCGTCATCAGGATCTAGATTATTCTTTAGCATGCTTCTAAATATTCAACGCTCTTTGACTTACCACCACGCTGAGGATCGAGCAGACTGGCTACCATGATCACCGCAGAATACGTCAACTGGCGCAAGATACTCTCGGACTTCATCTCGTCAGTCAGGTCATCAGACTCAGCAACTCCCTCTTTTCTCTGTTCAATCAGCTCCCATTCTGATGTGACCTTCTTGTCGATGCTGGTAAAGAGGGTGGCCAGCATTGGAGGCAGAAAGTTGCTTCGGAAGCGAACCGGGCAGTCATCAATCAAGCAGCGTGAGATATTGAGAAGAACAGAGAACTGATGAGAGGAGAGGTGGACGGAGTCCTTGAAGAGAGCTTGTGAGAGGGGACCTGGAAGTTCTGCGAATCCATAGAAATTCTCCCGTAGTCGGCTCATGCTGAACAACATTGAGTAGCACGCTTCACGCACAGCTCGAATCTTGCCTCTCACAGATGAGGCGAATCCTTCGACTGAGCCACGAGATGCAGTGATCTTAGCATAGAACTCATCACGGCTACCAGTGGAAATCCCGGCTTGCCAAAATCTATCGGTCAAGATGCGTTCCACAACCGGCGCCATGTCTGCGGGCAAGCCCTTCCAGTTGCCGGGATTGTGGAAGGCATGAGCATTACTGACTAACTGTAGAAGCGTCGGCAAGATGATAGGAATAAGATCATGCCATACATTGCAAGCAAGCTCATAGGCTGGTTCAGACCTTTTGAGCTTATCCGTCGAGACGGCCAGCATCGTCTTGGTACCTCTCAAAGGTAGTTGCTGGAACTTCCTAGTCATTTCTTCCTGAATGAGCTTACCCTCATTGTCCAGAGGTACAGAAGACCAGTCTTCGAGTTTTTGAGCCTGTCTGGACTGCATATATGCTCCGACATTCTGTAGTCCAAGCATAGCACAGAAGCCCTCGAATGTCGAGCTCACAGTTCGGAATTCTTCCTCCTGCCATGCTTGCTTGATCGGCTCCACGAAAGACAGAAGACGAGACTGGCGAAGGTAGGGTTCGACATTATTCGCTCGTTGCATGATGATAAGCAGGATGGAAGTGAGCTCCATGTGAAGCTTATCGTCTACCCGGTTGGCCATGGATATCTCCTTGATCTTGGGTTCCAATATGTCGTAGAACGTAGAGAAGTAGTCTGCGTAGCGCATGGCCAACCGCCGGAGCTCATGACTGGCCAGACCGTGAAGCTCCTTGACTGATTCCGAGTAGACGGGATACTCTGGCTGGTCCGGGAGGCGGGTCATCAAGATGTACTCCAATGCTTTGAGCGCAAAGCTCGGGGTCTTGTCGAGAGCTCTGGCGGAAATATCGACAATGAGCTTGATTACTCTCTGTTTCAAAACCGGATCTTCAAAATTACGCTGCATTAATTTGAAAGCCCACGCCTCCAAGATCTGTTCCAGGTCGCTGCGCTTCTGTTCATCTTGCTGAGGCATCTTTCCATGAGCAGATACCCATTTGTTGTACCCTTTTAGCGTTGCTTCGACAACCGCAAATTGCGTATCGGCCCGCATAAGGGGTATCGAGGTCTTTGAAAATGACTTCACGGCGAAAGGTTCCACGCCGCTGTAAAGGTTGTCTAGGTTTCCGTCAATTCCGGCAAGTATATGAGGTATGGCATCCTGGGGTCGCTTCTGGACGATCGTTTCGATGATGGAGGAACAGTATCGGCGATAGTTCCCGACAAACGCGTGTCTCTCGGGGATTGTGTCAATGTCCTCATTAAGGAACATCACTGTAGGATTGTCGGATTCTGCAGGCAGAGATTCCCAGCGAATGAGGCGCTCAGTACAAATACTCAGCAGCGAAGGGATTAGACCAATAACGAGGTCCGTGTTTCCGATCCTCTCGGAGGCTATCAATTTAGACCACACATGAAGGACAGGGATCGAGATTGTGAGACTTTGATTTTGGATGACAGTAATGGTAAGATGAAAGAAGAAAGGTAGGTCCATGCCCTGTGCGCTTTCTAATGAGAATGCCTTCTCTTCGAGAAATCCAGCGATGTACGAAACCATCTCGGAGAGCTTTTTGCAAATAGTATACTTGGTGTCGTCCACATCGTCTGGTCCCACAACTGACCATTCGTACAGCTTCTGCAGCACACTGAGCGCTTGAGTCTCGTACATGAAGTGCACCAAGGGCTGGAATCCTTCAATCTCAACGTGAGACCTGCTGTACAGCGCATGCAGAGCTTCAACAGCCGCCAAGAGCACAAGCTCGTCATTGCAGGTGAAGGCACTGGCAATGCAGGGGACACAGTTGGACGAGAGCACGGCCTTGGGGATTGCCCATGTCAGCAGGGATTTGAGAGTGGCAAGCGCTTTCAGTGCGGAGTCCCGGGCCTGCTTCGAGTTCTGAATGTTCCCGATACAGTCGTGCAGAAAAGCGCAAATGCGAGACATCCATCCCTCAGGTCCGCAACGCAGCTCAAGATTATCCTTCTTAGGATGGATCTCCTCGAAGACGGCCAGGGACGTACAGATCTCGACCATAGCCCGGTTTAGGTCCGTGCCACGCAAGGATGATACGGTATCTTCACGATAGAAGATGTCCTCCGACAGAGTTTCAAGAATGGATAGTACCAATTCCTTATGCACGAGGCTTGCTTTCCAGAATTGAAGAAGCGTTTCGTCCATGGAATTCCAATCCAAGCCCCAGCTCCTCTTGGCGACCTCGGCCCACAGTTGCGGGATCTTGTTGCGAATGTAAGCAGGATCTTCAGGTCGGATCGACTCCGCCAACTTCAGAACGAGGTCCCTGATAGCCGAAATCTGGTCTTGGGCTTCAAAGGAGGTGTGGCGCAAGACATGATCCAACAAACCCAGACCGAAATAGCGGACGAGAGGATTGGTCTGCTCGGGAAGCGCAAGCATATAACCATTGTGCGCTGCCGACTTGCTCTCTTTTTGGGCCTCGACAAAGGTCAAGGCTTCTCTGCGTAGCTCGTTGGTGGAGGACGGGTTGTGGATAAGCTCCAAGGCGCGGATGATGTCGGCCATGCGGCCCTCCGACAGATCACCTTCGGCTGCCATGGTTGATGTGGGAAAACAACTCCTTCGCTGCTCTTGAAATAAAGACAATAAAGAAAAAGCTATGATTACCTTGACAATTGCTGAAGTGATACTTGCAATGTTCTCATTATCTTTTAGATCCCTGCAAAACCTCCTTCTGGTTCGTTTGGGAATTCCCAGACTTCCGTGGTGGAAGCGGAATTGGCTTGGGCAAACTTTTTGACAACTGGAGGGGGAAACTAGTTAAGGGGAGGTAATAATAGATTCCTGCCCGCCGGGACTTTCAGCCACGAAGTCAGCGATGCTGTTTGGCGCAAGTGGGCAACACTGAGTAATCGCTGAACACACGGCGACCGCCGTTAGGGGGAGGGGGTGGGAGGGCAGTTGCGGCTCAGTAAGGGAGATTCCCTGCGAGGCGCCGATGTTGTTCTGCCTAAAGAGAAGTGGAGTGCTTATAGATGGTGTTTTGGTGTTTTGTTTCTTTGATTTTTTCCCCTTCTTCTGTTCCTGATATATGGTTTGGGACGAATGAATAGACAGTAGTGGTGACAAGAATTCAAAGAGAGAAAAATACGGAGTGAGGAAGTGGGTACTATATTAACCACCACACTTGAAGCTTAAAGAAGAGATTTGGAGGGAAGATTGGCAAGTACGGGAAGAGGGAAAGAGAGAGGATCAACAGCAACAGCAACAGTGAGTGAATCGATACGGCGGCAGCGGCAGATAATCAACGCCCGCCTTACCAGGAGAATTTTCCACGCGCTCCCGCTCCAATCACCACATCGGTTCATCCATTTCCCCCGCCAGTCCTCCTCACCGCTTCCTGGAGGATTTCTTATCGATAAGCACCAGTACACCCAGCATGACTTCTGTTTACCCCCCCACACACCACAGTACATCATCTTCTATCTCAAATGCCACTCACGGGTGCATGACTATTCAACTTATGATTGCTGAATTCATATTCGAGTAATTATACTATCATGACTTACTCGATCCAAGATCTCAGAAAACAAATGTGACAACAACAACCACAAAATGCGCTTGCATGTCAAAGAAGACAGAAACACAGAACCCACGCCAGCTAAGGGCACTCACATCACGCTGCATCCGCTGCTCTGGCATTGCTCTAGATAGGACAGTTCATCACTCGACGATGTGGCAGACTCGCCGGGCTTACGTTTGACCCCCTGGATCTTGATGTCGTGAGCCCCCGCCGCATGCCACCAACGCAACCGTTGTACCTTGACTGAGTTGACCTCATCCGAATCAATGGTCCATTCTCCGCTACTGACAGAGACAACAGTGTGCCCTCCAGGGAAATGGAACTCGGGAAGGTAGATCTCAGTCGCAGTCTCCTCGCTTAGTGACCTTTCACTTCCAATCAGCGACAGCGTGAATGTGCAGTTCTTAAGGTCGAACGTGTATTTCGAAACTAGGCCGCTGGTGAAGATCGGACTCGGTCGGATGAAGGCCTCTGCCGCACGGAACCCAAGTTTGTCCTCGTTTGACTGACTGAACTCCGAAGTGATAGAGGGAGCTGACAGGGCACTCTTCAGATTGTCAGGCCCTATCGACTGGTGCTGAATACTACCCTGACTTTCGGAGTATGCTGGTGAGTGAGGGTCGGTCTCTACCCGAGAGTCAGTTTCCAAGTCGGAGTACTTCCCGCTGGGAAGCTCGAAATCATCGACCGAGTAGATTGATAGGTCCTCTCCGTTCCAGTTGTCGCCCCATTCGTGATTGTTCTGCAACGGTGTCAGTCTCAATTCACTTCACTCAACGTAGTAGTTTCACTGCTCGCTTACCGTAGTCGTATAAAGCCACAATGTGAAACCATTCGCCGTACTGCCCTCCAGTGCAAAATGATTGGCGTCCATAGCGCTGACCTGACTACTATAATCACCCGTCTTGTAGGCATGTTTGTCGTCCATGTCATAAGGAATGCCGATCTCTGTAAAAACCATGGGGTGGGAGCCCATGTATTTCAAGCTCTCGTCCCTTAGAAACTTCAACTGATCACGCAAGCAATTGCGAATCGCCGACTCTCCGATCTTGATGGCAAAGGCAGGTGTGAGGTACTTGCCACGAAGTACCCCAATTACATCCACATTGTATAATCGATTCCTAGAGTGGTCATGGTCAAAAAAGGAAACGCGCGGAGAGACACGGCCAATTCACTTACCAGTGCTTCGTCAACAAAGTAAGACCATCATAGTAGTGAGCTGCATGCACCATGTTAGGGTCATCGTCCGCGGTTCCCTCTAGGTCGGGCGGAACCTCCATGACAGGAGGTTGACAAAACATGATTGCATCCGGCCACACGCTCCGCAGAGCATCTCTATAAGCCCGGTAATGTTCCATAAAATATGTATTGGTGAAGACGTCGTAGTTTAGTGGTTCACCTGTTCGAGGATGCTTGGCGAAATAGTCCTTTCGCAGTAACTGGTCCGATGACGGATCCCATACACCATGCTGAGCCCATAGACATTCTCCCAGCTTCCAATTCGAGTCTCTCTTCCAACCATATTTCTCGTCGTCGTAGTCTTCTGGCAACCAAGCGATTTCGCCCTCTGGGTCCACCAGTTCTCTGCCGGTCTGATGAGGGCCAAAGCCGCCAAAAGCCCAGGTCGTCTCCTCACATGCGCGTCCCGACCCGGTGAGCATAGCCTGGAAAGCAGTAGGCGATGTGCCCAGTTGGAGTTGCTGTTCAGGTGGGATCACAGAGATATCTTGGAATCCAATCAGACCTCTGTGAGGTTCATTCATGCTCTCCCATCCAATGACCACTTCGCTTTCGATATCCCCAGCCTCATGAATCTTTTCAGCAAAGTACTTGCATGCCGCAATGAAGTGGCCCTGCAGATAGTCCTGGATGTTCATGCCATCTATGATGGCCTTGGGGGCAAAGTCCCGACCTGCCCAAAATAATGTAAACATGGTCTGGCAGACCAGACGTGTGTAGTTGGTACTCCATATCATTTTCGGAAATTCGGCCGGGTTGTCGTACGTGTTCTGCACCAGGGCTGCTTCGGTCTTCTTGAACGATCGAGGGTTGAATCCTGCCGCATATAGAGTCCAGGCGGGAGCACCAGATCCTCCTGATAATCTGCACCACTTCACATTGTTAGTCGGGATGATGATAGTAATCCGGCGAGTCACGGAAACCTACCACATCCTGATGTGGATCGAGGAAGACAAAAAACTTGTACTGTTTCGCGATACGAAGGACTTCGATGGTGAATGCGATCCATTCGTCGTCATATTTCCAGGGCCCTTCATGCTCTATCGCCTCCCATGTGAAGAGGTATCTTATTGTATTGTAGCCCCACTTGCGTAGTCTGGCAAAATGGGTGTGTGCATCGTCAAGAGAAAAGGGTCGGCCGACGAAGGAGACATTGTCCGCATCGAAGAAGCTATCGGAGACATAGGAAGGAGTGTCCGGATTCCTGGGGAATTTCGACTCGCCGGCGACGTTGATCCCTCTCAGGGTTATTTCCCGATTGTTTGCATCTTTAAATGTTTGACCGTCTATTCGAAGTCGATAATGGCCCATTTTCTCTCAGTCTCAACGCACGATACCACAGCCAATGATGGAAGTAGATGAACGGGTGTTCGCGGATGTGCGAGCAGGGCAGAACAATGCTGGAGAGAACGTCAAGACAATGTGACTTAGGCTGATGACTGGTTTCCAATCCCACTCGGCGGCAGCACTTCAAATAGTTCAATCGCTAAGAGACAAACATCAGTCATTGCAAACTGACTGGACCAAGTGAGGTGTCGATCGTATCCGCGCTAACCTTGCAGGAACAGCTGGTTGATGGCGGCGACGCCAGTCACAAAGCCAACGGTACAACGGTAACAGACTTGGCGCCGGGGGGTCAAGTGAATTAAAGAAGTTATCTAAATCCCAGGGAAACAAACAAGCGTCAAGTTGGTATCGACAATTTCCTCTTCTATGGGTTGACTGACATGTGTTAACAGGCAACAGCGAAGACAACACCTGTAATTGACTATTGAGTTACTACTTCAAGCTCCGAGACCGAGAGCGATAACGAGCGATCCGGCGGAACCTCTGACGTACCTTTCTTTTCCCACTTGGGTTTCCCCACACAGCCCGCCCGGCCTTTTCTCAATTACGAAGTAACTTGCTCCAAATCCGCCAGCATTCCCCTCAACCAAACACCAAGCTACCTAGGAATCCGGCCAGGCCATGCAGCGATTGCCTTAAGATGGCAAGCAAAGCGGCTCTCAAGGCAGTGCGCACGGCGCTGGACTCGAACGATTTCGAGCTTGCAGCCGAGAAAGCCAAGGAAATTGTCCAGAGAGACCCTCAAATTTATCATGCGTGCGTATCAGTTCATCCCCTCAGCCCCTCACCCTCTGAGACTTTTACCCCCTCAGTCCCGCGAATTCCGCGTGTCTAACTTGAATTGCCCGCTAGCAATGTCTTTCTGGGTCTCGCGCTCGACAAGCTCAACAAGAACGGTGAAGCCGAAGCGGCCTACCTTTCAGCTATTCGTGTGAAGGACAACGACAAAACAGCCTGGCAGGGCCTCCTCAACCTGTACGAGAAACAAGGCGCGCATAAGCTCGATCAATATCGTGAGGCAGTCATCAAACTTGGCTTACTGTTTGCTGAAGTGTACGTGTCTAAACCCGCTCTACGCGTATTTAAATGATCGGTCTGGCTACTGACTGATCTCAGCGATGACAAGCATCGTTGTCAGGATCTCCTGGACAAGTATGTCGGCTTCGCGAAGAAAAATGGTTCTCGATCACAATACAAGAAAGCTCTTGAGCTGCACCTCCCATCGTCGCCGCTTTACGAATATCTTCAAGGCAGGATCCCGCATCCGTCCCATACCTACCTCCGTCTGATTGAGATAACGGAGTCGGAGGAGAAAGAATATATAAATCGGGAGATCGGGGAAAGACGCACTCGTCTTGGCGCAAAGATCGATCAGGTCACACTGGAGGTCAAGAGGGAAGCTTTCAAGCGCAGCGAGTTGGAGCAGCTCTATCGCGGGATCGTGGACTGGTCTCATGACGACCAGGTTCGACGCACCTATGAGGAGAAGTCTTTGCAGCGCGCCTATGACTTTCTGACAGTCCTGCCAGCAAATGAGAAGGATGCTAAGCGAGTGGAGGTGCTGCAGGCTGCTCGTGACATGGTCATCATCAAGCATCCTTTCGAACTGGCCTGGAAGATTGTGCTGGAGTGGCATGATATCCAAGAATTCCACGAATGGGATCGCAACTTCCTCGATGACTTCATTGAGTTCTTTCCCGAAGACGGACTGTCCAAGGTCCTTAAGGGTTTCCTTGCCAGTGATATCTCTCCTTTCCCCAAAGAGACGAAGGAGCCAGAAGAACCTAAGCAAAGGAGAGACTCCAAAGCGGAGGAACCTGAATCCGACGAGAACAATGGCGAGGTGAATGAGTTGGCTGCTCAAGATCATCTTCTCCTAATGGTGGAAGGTCTTGAAACTTCGTCAACCTCGATCGTCGCACATCGGATCGTAGGAGAACTCTATTTGACACTTGAAGAGTACGAGAGTGCCGCGGACATCTGTCGTAAAGGTCTCCGAAATGTTCACGACGTGGTCAAGCGGGCGGGGCTCGATCTCACAAACAGCACCGATGCAATTAACATCATACTTGCAAATTCACTCATCTACCACCAGTCCCCTCGCTACCATCCTGAGGCGAAGGGCATCTTCGAAGTGATCTTGAAGCGGAAGCCGACTTCGACGAGCTGTCTGCTTGGAATCGGTCTTATCCTTGAGGTTGATGAGGACTATCCAGAAGCTGTGAACTTTCTGGAGCGTGCGCTGGCGCGGGACCCATCGAACATCAAAGTTCGAGGGGAGCTGTCCTGGTGTCGGGCGCTCAACGGCGACCTCGAAACCGGTCTTGAGGGTCTTCAGGAGGTGCTCTCAGAGCTTCGCGAGGCACAATCGGAAAATAGGGATTTCAAGGCTGAAATCCTCTACAGGGTAGGCTACTGTCAGTGGGAGATTGATCCAGCACCAGCTGCACGCAAGGATCGTAACGGCGCCTACGCTAGTTTCCTTGCTTCGATTCAGACCAACATGAACTTCGCGCCCGCCTATACCAGCCTTGGACTGTACTATGCAGACTACAAGAAAGACAAGACCCGAGCCAAGAGATGCTTCCACAAAGCCTTTGAATTGTCCCCGTCTGAGATCGAAGCTGCGGAGAGGTTGGCACGCACATTCGCTAGCCAGCGGGACTGGGACCTCGTCGAAGCCATAGCCCAGCGCGTGGTGGATTCTGGCAAAGCCAAACCAGCTCCGGGCTCTAAGCGCAAGGGCTACAGTTGGCCATACGCAGCTTTGGGTACTGTCCAAATCAACAAACAACAATACCCGAAGAGCATTGTGTCGTTTCAGGCAGCGCTGAGAATAAAGCCTGATGATTACCATTCATGGGTCGGTCTGGGCGAGAGCTACCACCACTCCGGAAGGTATATTGCTGCGACTAAAGCTTTCGAGCACGCACAAGCCTTAGAGGAGACGCTTTCGAGCACCGACAAGGAACAGATCTGGTTTGCGAGATACATGCTTGCGAATGTCAAGCGGGAGCTTGCCGATTATGATGATGCTATCGCGAGGTACGAGGATGTGCTGAAAGTCAGGCCAACGGAGATTGGCGTCTTGATCGCCTTGCTTCAGACGCTTACCGAAAGCTCTTGGAAGAGTCTGGAATTGGGACGGTACAATGACTGCATTGAGCTTGCGCGACGAGCGATTTCGACAGCACAGTCACTTGCCATGGAAAGAGTCGATGTATTCAACCTCTGGAAGGGCATTGGAGACGCATGCAGTCTATTCTCTTACGTGAAATCCAAGGCAGACAGGCTGCCGATCGATGAATTGCAGAGCCTGCTCACAACCCAACTGGAGCCAACAGCCTTGGACATCATGACTGACGTGGACGAAGTGGGCGCGGAAATCCTCGTTTCACTAACCTCTGAAGACGATAGCACCAGCCCGGCGAACAAATGTCTCTATGCCGCCATTCTAGCCTACAAACGTGCCATCCAGGTCTCACTCCGGGATACTCATGCTCAGGCTGTTGCCTGGTATAACCTCGGCTGGGCCGAATACAGAGCTTACAGAAGCCTGCAGCTCAGCTCAGCCTCCGAGAATAAGAAGCAGACTCGCAAATTCGTCAAGACGGCCATGCGTTGCTTCAAGCGAGCCATCGAACTGGAAGCCGGCAACTCGGAATTCTGGAATGCACTTGGTGTAGCGACTACAAGCATGAGTGCCAAGGTTGCCCAGCATTCATTCGTGCGAAGCCTGCATCTCAACGATCGCAGTGCCCAGGTTTGGACAAATCTAGGAACCCTATATCTCCTTCATAATGACATTCAGCTGGCAAATGAGGCCTTTACCCGGGCACAGTCTACCGATCCAGACTATGCACCGGCTTGGGTTGGCCAGGGCTTGCTTGCTCTTTTGTTCGGTGACTCGCGGGAAGCAAGAGGCTTGTTTGAGCACGCCTTCGACATTTCCAATTCATCGTCACGGTTGCCCAAGAAACAATACACAATGACCTTGTTCGACCATCTCATGTCCGATTCTTCCATTTCTAACGAGATCTCGCAACTCATCCAGCCCTTCTTCGCCCTTCACCAGCTCTCCAGTCAGGAGCCCTCTGACTTGCCATTCGTCCATCTCTCTTCCCTTCTAGCGGAACGAATTGGTGAGTTTGCGAATGCCGAAACGAGCTTGCGAACTGTTTGTGCGGGAGTGGAGGCCGAATACGAAGTCTCAGAGTCAGCGGCATCCCTCTCTCGATATGCGCAGGCCAACGCTGATATCGCCCGTGTTCTTCTTGCCCGTCATGAGTACGAGGAAGCCGCCGAGAAGGCGGAAACAGCACTTATGCTCTCTGGCGAGGAGGACGCAGAGAAGTTCGATCCTGAGACGAACAAAAAGCTGCGCCTGTCAGCGCACTTGACCGCTGGGCTGGCACACTACTACTTGAAGTCCATGGACAATGCCATTGATATGTTCCGTGATGCGCTTGGAGAGGCGGACAATGCTCCAGAGGTGGTGTGCCTCTTGGCGCAGGTGCTGTGGGCCAAGGGCGGGGAGGAGGAAAGAGCCGTCGCTCGCCAGCAGCTGTTCGACTGCGTTGAAGAGTATCCTGACCACATCGGCGCCGTCACCCTTCTCGGAGCCATTGCGCTACTGGATGAAGATAGAGACGCGGTTGAGGCCGTCCAATCTGACCTCCGCAGCATGATCACTCGCGATGACATAGAGATCCATGAGCGCGGCAAGCTCATCAAGCTTCTCACTGCGGTGTCTACCCTGGGATACGGAGATAACTCGGATGTTCCTGAGGATACTCGACGGATTGGAGAAGCCACTGCAGCAGTGATGAGATCGCCTGCCGAACCGCAAGGCTGGGTGGAATTGTCATCGGCTACGCAGGAGCTGTACCCAGCTGAGATGGCCGTCAAGAGAGCTTTGCGAAGCGTCCCTCCCCGCAGCAACCTGGAAGCCGTTGATCTTGCTGCTGCATACGCACAGACCGGGAAGGCGAGCGACGCAATGAGGGCGATTATGGTGGCACCATGGCAGCAATCGGGGTGGGAAGAGCTGAATCATGCAGTCTTGACGATCGAATAGTCGCTACCTTTGCACCACTTTCCAAATGTGAGATAGACGAAGATTTACTTAAAGAGCTATTAGATAGAAACGAGTCACGAAAAGAGAAGGGGGGGCATACCACAAATGCAAATATTCCTCTCCGTCAGCGGTATCAACCTGACGACTGATCCTCACCTTGCATCTCCGTAATCCTCGCCAACAACCTAGCCTTTCTCCCCTCTTTCCACGCCTGATCCATACTTTCGATCTTCCCTCCCAGGAGCGTAATGCAGTCCGGCGTGAGCAATATCATCCCGCGCGCCACCGTCGCATTCCGTATGACCATCTTCGCCCCAATCGCCAGCTTAGCCACAGATATGCCCTGAACGCGCTTCAATTCAATCGCCACCGCTCTCGTCCCCGCCGCGTCCTGTACGATCAATCGATGCGGTCCATGACTTTTATTCTCGGACGACGCAGTAGCACCAGCAGTATTTCCGCTGCCGGCCCCTTCTTCATCATCACCCTCCTCGCCGCCACCACCACCAACATTAACGGCCCTCACAATCTCCCGTCCGCGGATCGCCTCCCCGCGCTCGACGCGCTCGATCGCCTCGACCTGACTCCACAGACTCGTGCCGATGTCCTCGATATCCAACACCTGGACCGGGACGGGGCCCGGGAGCCGTCGTTCCTGCACGGAGAGATCGAAGATGTCGCCCGGCAGCAGGGCGGAGGGGTGATCGGTTTGGAGGGAGTCGCGGAAGTCCGAGGCCAGGATGCGGAAGAGCGCGGTTTGCGTCAGGGCGGAGATGGGGACGTTGCGTTGCAGGGCTGCTGTCGTGGAGGAGACGAAGCTGTTGAGCCAGGTTGGGGAGACGGGGAGGGCTTTGGTGGTGTGGAGGTGGGCTGAGATTTGGGATTGTGGGGTGGTCATGGTTCTGACGAGAAGTTTGGTTGGGTGTTTGAGGTGAGGTTAACGCGAAACTGGGTTTTAGGTTGGGAGGAAGAGGGGTTAGATGGGAGAGGTCGGAAGCATGGTTTTGAAGTTGTTGTGATTGTTGCGTTGGTGTGAGGGGAAAGGAGCGGGAAATTTGGAGAAATTGTTTGGGTTTGTTTCAACGTTGGTTGCGGTTGCGGTTGCGGTTGCGGAGCGGAATCCGGGGTGGGGAAGAACGTCGAGTCCCCTAAACTACCTCCAGCTTCCCTACACCTCCTTGACAATCAACTTACATTCATCGAGACGTGAATTACACCCTTTTCTGGTATAGTCATATACGTGTCTTACACTCTTCTATTGTCTTTCTACTGCTCGCATAGGTAGCAACAAACAATCCAGCCCACCTCCCCCTTCACACCACAACCACCACCATGTCGACACTCTCCTCCCCCCGTCCGTCAATTGCTTCATCGCGCGCCCACTCTCCCACCCCGACCTCCTCCCACCGCCCCTCTCTGGACACATTGAACACCAATCTCGGCTACAACGGCGGAGGAGGAGGGCTCAGCGCCTCCTCGACCCCCTCCACCGCGCGAGCAGTCTCCCCGTCCCTCCACCCGCGCCGCAACCGCGCCGCCCTCCGCGATTACTACAACCTCCGGCCGAGCGATGCTGCCGGCACTGGCGGTGCCGGACGCCGTTCGCGTAGCATCCCCCGCCCGAGCGAGGACCCTTCCGTCAATAACAACAACCACCAATCATCATCATCATCCGTCGTGGCCACGGGGACGGAACTCGACAGCCCGGACTTCGACCCCCAGCGCTACGTCAACCAGCTCCTGGCCACCTCGTCGCTGTCCACGGTGCTGAAGGCCGAGAACACGCTGGTCGGGGACATCCGCACGCTGGACAGCGAGCGCAAGGCGCTCGTGTACGACAACTACTCCAAGCTGATCCGCGCGGTCGAGACGATCGGCAAGATGCGGCGCAGTATGGATGAGCGCGGGGCGCCGTTGACCATGACCAAGACCCTGGGGCCGGCGATTGCGTTCGTCGCGGAGACGGCCGGCGGTCTGATTCAGGAGGGCGAGGAGCAGCAGCGCCGGATCCGGGAGGCGAAGGCGGCGACGGTGGGGGCGGAGCGGAGGAAGGCGGAGAGGCTGACGGTGCAGTGGGTGCTGGGCGCGCCGGAGAGGTTGGAGAAGCTGGTGGCTGAGGGGAAGGCGGAAGAGGCGGAGAAGGATTGGGAGGAGGTGAGGAAGTTGCTGGGGAAGTGGGAAGGGGTTAAGGGGGTTGCGGAGGTTCGGGAGGCTTGTGAGAAGGTCATGGATCGAGGGGATGAGTCGTCTTGAGGTGAGGCACTGGTGGTAATTTCACGCAGAGCGGCAAACAAGCATGGGGATCAATTCCGCTGTGCTTGGTTATGACATGGGGCTTGTTGGGGTTGGAAGAACGTGTTACCCTCCAGGCTTGCTTGGTATGGCAATGATGATAAGGAAGGCCTCAAGTCGGGCGTTGAGTTGTCTATCCCCTTCGTCAATCAGTGCTCATACAAAGCTCCGGGATCGGCATATCGAGCCTGCTAGGTTCTTTTTGAGCCTCAAGTCACGGCGAGTACGCTGAAATGGCCGATATGTACACATTCTTGAATCAACAATCCAAACATCCAGCAGCTCGCTCACCACTCACCCCGCAACACGTCTCGACTCGAAAACCGACTCGCCTTCAATCCCCACGGATTGTTCCCCATGATCTCCAGATGGGTGAACGCATCACACTTATAGTATATGGGCTTCTCATTGGACTTGACAAGCTCCAACTCTACCATTCTCCTCAGCACCCGAGCCACGTCCTCGCGGTCCTCATGATCGTGGGTATAGATTGCGATCAGTCGCGCCCTCCCCTGCCCATCATCCGTTGCTACCTTGGCTCCGAATCCCAGCTCTCCGCGCACGGTCGCCTCGGCCACCACTGTCCAATACTCATCGACCCGATTCGCCGTGATAAACAGCATCCACTTCCCGGACACGACGCCCGTCTGCCTCGCCAGCATGAACAGCTCGCTCTCCAACTCCTGCCGCCGACGGTGCAACGCCCGCGTTGCCGCTTGCTTCGAACCCGCCGGGGCCCTGTCCCGCTGCACCTGCAACGCGGCCCTGTCATTCTCGAACCGATGCAGTGCCCTCGTCCCCTCCGCCACGAGCCTCGCGATATCCGCTTGCTGCGGTCTTTTGGGCTGCTGAGGTGCTGCGACGTAGATCCACGGCCCGGCCGCATCAGCGGGGGTACTGGATGGCGTCAGCCCCGTAGCTGCTACGCTCGAGACTGCGCGTCTCACGCGGTTGCACTCCTCGGAGGCAGAGACATCCGTCATGATCGTGTCGCCGTCCGCCTCTTCTTTCTTCAATTCAGTCGTGCGCTTTAGAGCGTCGGGTGGTGGAAAGCTGTAACACCGAGGCGGCGCAGCGCCATCGTCCCCATCTTCCGTCTTAATACTAGTACCGCAGTCCATCTCGGCTGCGTTCTCGCTTGCTTGTGTTTCTTCGTGTGCCTTCCGCCTCGCACTCAACGCCTTCCGGCGAATATTGTTCAGCGAATGCGGATGGATCCTGTTCCAGTAGTAGCCGATATCGTAACTCGTAACCAGATGTTCTAACCGCTTGACCTCTTCGTCGTCGTCGTCATCATCGCCTACCTTCAATAATCAGTATTGTCCACCCATCAACGCCGAATGGTATTAAACTAGGAAGTTAATGGAAATCCTAGGTATAATGCAACACCCACCATAAAAGCTCGACTCATCCGAAAGATCATCGACCGATAGATCCCAAGCCATGGGTTCAAAACTTAACTCACGTGAAGTCCTTCTGGTTGGATGAGGGTAACCGTGGCTGTGGCTGCGGTTGGGGCTGTGGAACTCTAGCCGCGGAAGTACGCGCGGGGTGGTTTGGGTGGTGGTGGTGGTGTTTGGGTCGAGGGGACGGGGATGATGGTTGTTAGGATCAAGAGCGATGCCGGGGTTGGAGTCTACAGTCTTAGGTAGGATTTAAAGTGGGACGGAGGGAGGGGGACATGACGCAATTACTTTTGATTCATCTATGTGTTTCTGGGATGTGTGTTTGTTGGTTTGGTGGTGGGTTTACTGTCAGTGGTTGGGGCTGTGTTGAGGGAGTGATGTATACATGTTGGGTGGGAGAGGGGGTTCTTTGTTTGCTACGCTACTGTACGCTGTGCTTTGTGCAGTGGAGGGAGATGGAGGTGTTTGAGGATGGGTGTTTTGTGTGACATGTGGGGTATAATTGGGGGTTTTATTGTGTTGGGTCGAGGAGTAGGTGTTTAGTTTAGCAAGTTATTATTCCTGTTTGCGCCGATATATACTTAGGTTGAGGGTAACGTCGGGTAGCTGCAGGCAGGACGGGAAGTCGATGACATTTCCTATTGTGTGTATTTTCTTGGATGAAGAACTTGTTTTAAAGAAAGATATAAGGACCACGAGACAGAGCCCACATGTAAGTCCTTTGAATGCAGAAGATGAAGAAAATAAATCAGGATGAAGCTTGGTCTTTTCTCTAAATCTGACCTTCTAGATACAATCACCCGGCCTTGAAAACCAAAGGATCATCCTTCAAGAAAAACTCACGGGATGAGGTTAGACATACAGGCCACTGATATGCACGACAAGAAAGAAGATATCATCAACCATACAGGACGAGTCCGTGTCTTACGATGATATCTTCACCCGGAAAACCAGTGCCTGATTGTCAAGGTCATATCCCGACTCATCCGCATACTTGAACCGACCGAAGTTCATGCGACCTGGTTCAACTCATTAGCCATTGACTCGTCCAGCTCTCCGGGTGGCTTTACCATTCTGTGTAATAAAGTCATTGTCACTCAAACTAAACAGAAAGTACTCCCTCTCGCGGGCGGACGCCTTCTTCTGCCCCGGCTCCACGGGCACCAGCGCCAGGCTCTCCCACTTTTCATTCAACAGGAAGCGATCCTGCGGGCCACCGTTATGCAACCCAAACTTGGCCAGCTGGCTCTCGACATTATAGTCCAAGAAGGGACAGTACTCCGCCGGGGTAATCCCGGTGTCCAAGACCCCCTTGGCCGAGGCGATGGACCCATTAACCCCGTCAACTCCCCGCCACCGTTTCAGATCGGTGGTGTTACTCGTGATAAGCACGACGTCCGCATGCCGATAAACAGACAACGACTCGTCCTGGCCGTGACCGAACCCGGAGTCGCGCGCCAGGACCAAGAATGCCTTGTCGTCTGGATCCCCCGCGGCGGCGACGGCCGGAAGCAGGTGTATCTCAGACTGCGCGGCCACCACGTCGTGACCCTTGGTGTAATCGTAGTACGTGGGTAACATGACCACATACTCGTGCTCTTGGACCGGGATCTCCGCGGAGATGTCGTACTGCAGGAGACGCGCGGGACGACGGTACTTCTTACTGGTGCCGCCCTCCTGGTCCAGAGCGGATTGGATCATCGTGTAGAGGGTCTTCCCGTCCGGGGAGATGGTCAAGGCCTCGAAGCCTTGGTTGTTCGCGCGGCCAGTTGCAGGGTCTTCGGGGATGGGGGTGTCGTTCGGGTCGTAGATGGGGGGGCTGTCGGCGCTGAAGCTGATGGACTGGTTGCGGTGCGGGATGTAGGCTGCTGGGGGCTCGATGGCTGTCTTCATCCGGCCGGTCTGGCGGTCAAACCGGTAGACGTAGGGCCCGTATTCGTCGGAGATCCAGAAGCTGTCCGGGGTGAGGACGAGGCCTTCGGCGTCCAGGGAGACGCGGTGACCGCCGTGGCCACTGTTGGGGTCGTCGTTGAAGCCATTGCCGGTGTAGATCGCGGCCGGTAGCGGTGGGAATCCTGGATAGTTGAGGGTGTCGTTGAAATCGGCCGAGGCGTCGAGTCCGGTTAGTGGTTTGCCGGTGGGATCGGTGAGCAGGAGGGAGTCGAGGTAAGTTAGCTGTAGGTTGGGTCTGGATGGACGATTGGCGGAGTTGTTGTTGCTGGTTAGATGGAGGGTGACGTTGAGTGTATGGACGCGGGCTTGGTAGTTGAGAGTGCCGTTCGTATTCCTGCATTTATTCTCAGCACACGAGGCCAGGGGAGAGAGAAATACAACAATCCAGGAGGCAATCATACCAGCCACGATCGGGGATGCAGTAAAGCAGTCCGGTATAAGTTTCAGGCCCAATGCGCCGCCAGGAGTCCAAGTCAAAGGCGGCCGAGCTGCCAAAGCCACCTAAAGTGTCGCCATACTTGTCTGTGGCGTTGGAAGGAATGTAGCCATAGCCAGCCAGGCCGGAGTAGGTGTAAGTATGACTGCCGCAGCTGGTCCGGTTCACAACGTCATTGTTGGCTGCAGCAGCAGTCCAATATAGGACTGAGAGAGTGTACAACCACGAGGAGTCGCGTCGCATGGGGGGTAGTTTTCAAATTGTAGGTGTAATGAGGAAAATGAAGTCAATTGGAGACCTTGAAAAGAGCCGGTGAAGTAACAGGACTTATTCTTATTCATAAAGCACTTTCGATGGCGGATAGAGATGGCTCCGAGGACCGGAAAGCTACTACTACTACTAGTAACTAGCAAGGATCAAGGAAGGATCCAACAGAAGGAAGACAACGTGGGCGCATCCAGGCCTGCAATTCGTTCTAAACCTGTGGAGGACCACGGCCGAGTAGGCCATAGCCAAGGAAACAAGTAATTGCATTGCATTCGCATTATTTTTAGTTGACTGCAGCGGTGATCTTCACACTGACTTCATCTCATCATCGTCATCGTCATCGTCCTCATCTTCTATCATGCCGCGTCGTTGTTGGCCTGCCATGTCCTACAAGATACTTTTTGGTCATCGCAGCTACCCAATCTCATTACTGACTCTCCCAAGTTGTCGGAACGGTAGGATAGTTCTTCGCATCGAGACCAAGATCTTCATAGATTGTATCGTCTCCTGTTTGATGTTAGTTGCATGCCTCGAATCAGACAGTCTGAAAGATCCTGAGGGAGCACTCACCCCGCAGAGATTCCACCCGCTCCTCGTTTTCCTGCTCTAGGTGCTCGAGCTCTTCTCCAGGCTGCACCTCATCAGCTTTCTTGCCATCCTCCTCTGCAGTTGCAGCCTTTCCAAGCTCGTCCACAGCTTCCCCAACCACAAGGAACTGTGCGTTGGGATAATCGATGAATTCAGGCTCCAGCGGCCTCCAGCGGTAGTCGCCGAATTTAGCAAGCACACTGTCATCATCAGTCAGCAAATGTACGTGGACCACGGTAAGGAATGCCATAATTGGGGCGGGGGTCAGACCTGTCGGGATACTCGGGATCTTTAGGAAGTTGAGCGTACGATGGCCCAGGGTGTTTTGGGTTCTTCGACTGCACAACCCAGCTGCCCCGTGCCCGGAGGCCAAAGTCTTCCTGAAGTGATCCAATCTGATCAGGAATTGTGAGAACGTAAGCCAGATGAGAGGTTCGTTTGGTAGATGTAATTGCGTAGACGCCTTCTGCATACGGACGGGCATCAGGAACGGTACGCTCGCCTTGGGTGGCGGTGTCATATTGCCCTCCAGCAATGAAGCTTTCCTGCAGTGCTTTCATGGATTGCCCAGCCTTTTCGACGAATCCCATAACTCGATCACGACCAGAGGTCGGGAATCTTTTCTTTGGAAGAGCCATCAAGCGACATTTGGCACCAGTGTCAACCGGGCCCTGCTTTGCGTCCAAGGTAGCTCCCAAGGGAGTTGGTCGCAGAACCACAAAAGTGCGCGCAACATCATCGACACCCTGAGGATCAGTCACATTGACTCGGGACCGGTAGAAAAAGTAAATAATACCCTTTTCAAGGATGTTTGACGGAACCTTTTCCTCCCTCTCCTGCGAGGTTTCGACGCCAGCTTCGTTGCCCTTGGCGGGAGCCAAATTGGGTTCTTTGGTTTCTGTTTGAATGTCTTCGGGTTTGTTCTCATCACCCAGCTCCATTTTATCTTCGGGCTTGTCGTCGGCCTTGTCTTCTTTCGCCGTGTCTGGCTGCTCAGTGTCAGGCTTCGCCTCTGACTGCTCTTCTGCTTTTTCTTCTGTCTTTGTTTCTGACTCGGTTTCTGGCTTGTCCTCTGACTTGTCCTCTGGCTTGTCCTCTGGCTTGTCCTCTGGCTTGTCCTCTGGCTTGTCCTCTGGCTTGTCCTCTGGCTTGTCTTCTGGCTTCTCGCCAGGTTTCTCTGGTCCTCCTTTGAGCTCTCCCTCTGGCTTAGCTGCAGGCTTATCGCTCGGCTCTTCGGGCTTCGCTTCTGACTTTCCGGCCTGCTCAGAACGACCTACATAGGGTCAGACAACATACGCGGTGGTTATGCGGACTTACTCTACCTTTAGGTGGTTGCGCATCAATTCCGGTCGTGGGCTGCTTGGCTTCGTCCGGCTCTTTGTCGGCCTCTTTTTTGCTACGCTTAGACTCCGCTCCCTTGTCAGCACTGCCCTTGCGCTTTGCGCCAGCAGTACCTCGGCTTTTAACATCAGGAGCCGCCGCAATGGCTTCCTTTGCCTTCTGGGCGGCCTGGCGAGTCGATGTTCGGGTTGCCATATTTACTATGCGCGCTGGGGCTTGTCAAGCAAGTTCGTAGGCCAATTGAGGAAGGGAATTGGTTCGATGGGTGATGATAACGACAGGATAATGGTAGAAGGTGATCTGTTCGCCGTAAGCCGACAAAGAGAGCAGTATAAGTGACGGCGATGAGAAGTTGGTGACGTCACCGAATAATCCAGCCTTTTCCGGCCTAGCGTGGGCGCACTACGTCACGTGTCACATGTTGCGAGTCGCCAGAGCCAGCAACAAACTATGAAGCTCGGGGGGAGCCCACCTGGCAGATGCTCATGTAACGCTCACTCAGTCAATGTCCATTTGATCTGGCGTGGTGGACGCATAAGGGTAGAAACTACTGGGATCCGCCGAAGAAGATCGAGAGTCGTAACTGCCCGATGACTCGGTTTCACTGGCCCCCCCGTGCCAAAACACATCGGAGAATAACCCCAGATGGTTCCTTGAACGCTGGTTTCGCCTACGTTGCTTTTTGGGACGACCGTTGCATCCTCCCTCTTGAGTATTGGAAGAGTTGCTGGTTGAGTGTGATCGAGCTGGACGAGTCGGGGCGGTAGGTGCACTCGACGGCTTTCGCTTCATGCCCCGTTTAGCGGCGAAGCTTGAGCGGCGGCTTGTAGGGTCCGAATCGCAATAAAGGCCCTCCATCGAGTCCGCCAAATCATCTTGCTTGGGGTCTGAACTTTCCCGGAGAAATAACGCCGACCTCGGTCTCGCACCTGCCTCCTCCCAGGTGTCGGCAGGCTCATCCTCGGGTTCTTCGATCGCATATGGCAATATCACATTCGTTTCATCTTTGATATGGGTGTTGACTGACGGAGACTCGTGTACAGCAGGTTGCCAGGAGCCTGAAGCGGGACCGGGAATATCTTGAGTGAAGCATGTTGGGTCATCCCGAAGCGGAGAGGGAGGAGGGACTGTGCCATCCTCAGCTTTGATCATGGTGTTCTAGCCGGTGTCGCCAAAATTCGTCAAGTATAAGAAGTGCTGTCTTCATAGAGTGTAAATGCTGCTTTAGAAAGCGTTTTGAGAATCTGCATGCGCATGAAAAGACATCATGTATACGATATCGCCGTTATACTTGCAGTATTTTCATCTGTTGATCTGAGAACCGGGGCAAAAAAAAAAAAAAAAAAACCAAAAACCGTTGCAAGAAGAATAGGGCAGACAGAGCTCCAAACAGATCCAGTCGGAGAGAAGCGTAATGGGGCTGGCTGGGGAAGACGTTGTGTTCGGTTGCATTATGGGGGTCCCACCGCTCCGACAACGGCATGAAAGCAACAAGACCATGATATCACATTCTGTTGAAGCTCACTACTGATCCAGAATCGATGAACGGAGGAAAAAACAATACTTAGTTGGTGTCAGGCGAAGTGCAAGCATGCGCATGAGCATGAGCTTTAGCATGTTAGCTCAGGCTCAGTTAGTTGTTGGTTGAAGGCGATTGATTCATTTCCCCTGGCAGCTGCTCACCGCCCGGGGCCCATCATTGGCCCTCGGGGCTCGCTTATTGGCTGCCGACACAATAAGTCCACGTTTACCGCCATCCATCCATCCATCCATCCATCGAGACGGACCACGGCTGGAGTCCAGAGTCCAGACACTCCTCCCATTGCTCTATTCAACTAACCCCCCTCACAACTACACTCCTCCTCTTCCTCCCGAAGTAGTGGATGTGGTGGTCATTCTTTTGATCTTCCTTCTATTTCTCGTGTGCGGAGCTTGCTTCTCTATGGTGCGGCTCCGGCCAACCCTCCTCCAAGATGCAGTCCTCCCCAAACATGCTCACTAAGGTCCGCCCGTCCCCCTCCATGTCCCCATTGTCCCCTCACTCTCCCCCTTATCGCAACGGAGCTGGTCTCTGTCTACTCAAAGACCTGGAACTGACAAAACCTTCAATGCTTTAGTTTGAGTCCAAATCCTCTCGCGCTAAGGGAATTGCCTTCCACCCTAAGCGGTTCGTCGTCATCTGTCGTTTGTACAACGCGTCGCAAACGCTGACCCCCGGCACAGGCCATGGATTCTAGTCTCCCTTCACTCCTCCACCATTCAATTATGGGATTACCGCATGGGAACCCTGATTGACCGCTTCGAAGAACACGATGGTCCCGTTCGTGGCATTGACTTCCACCCGACACAGCCCATGTTTGTCTCCGGAGGTGATGACTACAAGATCAAGGTCTGGAACTACCAGACTCGCCGGTGCATGTTCACCCTGAACGGCCACTTGGACTACGTGCGGACGGTCTTCTTCCATCATGAATTGCCCTGGATTCTCTCCGCCTCGGACGATCAAACCATTAGAATCTGGAACTGGCAGAACCGGTCCCTAAGTATGTTGGACTCTGACCACCTGTCCGGAGGGAGGCTGACGTTTAGCCTGTAGTCTGTACCATGACCGGCCACAACCACTACGTTATGTGTGCACAGTTCCACCCTACCGAGGATTTGATCGCCTCCGCCTCGTTGGATCAATCGGTTCGCATTTGGGACATTTCCGGCTTGCGCAAGAAGCACTCGGCCCCGACGACTATCTCCTTCGAAGATCAGATGGCCCGGGCCAACCCCGGTCAAGCAGACATGTTCGGAAACACAGACGCCGTGGTGAAGTTCGTCCTAGAGGGCCACGATCGAGGAGTCAACTGGGTCTCCTTCCACCCTACTCTTCCCTTGATCGTCTCCGCCGGTGACGACCGTCTCATCAAGCTCTGGAGAATGAGTGGTACGTGGGACATGACAATATAGGTGTCCAATGGTGGTAATAGCTGACATGACTTCTGTAGACACGAAAGCTTGGGAAGTTGACACCTGCCGTGGGCATTTCCAGAACGCTTCTGCCTGTTTGTTCCATCCGCACCAGGACCTGATCCTCTCTGTCGGCGAAGATAAGACCATCAGATGTTGGGATTTGAACAAGAGAACGTCCGTCCAATCGTTCAAGCGCGACCTGGACCGTTTCTGGGTCATTGCTGCCCATCCCGAGATCAACCTATTTGCTGCCGGCCATGATACCGGTGTGATGGTTTTCAAGTTGGAAAGAGAGCGACCTGCCTCAGCGGTCTACCAGAACCAGCTCTTCTATATCACCAAAGAGAAGCATGTCAAGTCATATGACTTCGGCAAGAACGTGGAGTCTCCTCCTATGCTCTCACTGCGCAAATTGGGATCCCCTTGGGTGCCTCCTCGTACCCTCTCATACAACCCTGCCGAGCGTGCCATCCTGGTCACGTCCCCGACTGATGGTGGCGTGTACGAACTGATTCACCTCCCCAGGGATGCTACCGGTGCTGTGGAGCCTACCGATGTCAAGCGTGGTCAGGGCACGTCTGCTGTCTTCGTTGCGCGCAACCGCTTCGCCGTCTTTAGCCAAGGCAACCAACAGGTAGACATCAAGGATCTCAGCAATGCGACTACAAAATCGATCAAGCCTCCAGTCGGAACCACAGACATTTACTTCGGTGGAACTGGCTGTCTCCTCTTCATCACTCCTACTTCGGTCGTTCTCTTCGACATTCAGCAGAAGAAGCAATTGGCGGAGCTCGCTGTGAGCGGCGTCAAGTATGTTGTCTGGTCCAACGACGGGCTCTATGCCGCTTTGCTCAGCAAGCATAACGTCACTATTGTGACCAAGACCTTGGAGCAGGTGAGCAGTTTGCACGAGACGATCCGTATCAAGAGCGCAGCCTGGGATGACGCTGGCGTCCTTCTCTACTCTACCTTAAACCATGTCAAATATTCTCTCCTGAACGGGTATGCTATTTCGAAGTTCCTGAAGAAAATACGGTTTGATAGCTAACATGAATCAGTGACAACGGCATCATTCGCACTCTCGACCAGACTGTCTACCTTGTTAAGGTCAAGGGCAGAAGCGTCTACTGCTTGGACCGCAGCGCTAAGCCCCGCGTCTTGGACATTGACCCTACTGAGTACAGATTCAAGCTTGCACTGGTGAAGAGGAACTACGATGAGATGTTGCAGATCATTAAGACATCGAGCCTGGTCGGTCAAAGCATCATTTCCTACCTGCAGAAGAAGGGCTACCCCGAGATCGCGCTGCAATTTGTGCAGGATCCCCAGACCCGTTTCGAGCTTGCCCTTGAGTGCGGCAACCTGGATGTAGCTATTGAGATGGCTCGCGAGTTGGACCGCCCCAATCTGTGGACCAGACTTGGGGCCGAAGCTCTGGCTCACGGTAACCATCAGACAGTTGAGATGGCCTACCAAAAGCAGAGAAACTTTGACAAGCTGTCTTTCTTGTACCTGTCGACTGGTGACCAGGAGAAGTTGTCCCGTATGGCTAAGATTGCGGAGCACCGAGGCGACTTCACGTCGCGTTTCCAGAACGCAATCTACCGTGGTGACGTCGAGGACAGGATTCAGATGTTCAAGGAAGTCGATCTTTGTAAGTCCTGTTCCATGTCTAAGTTGGGTTTGGTTTCTAATCTAGTATAGATCCGCTCGCGTACCTTACTGCCAAGTCCCACGGGCTGACAGAGGAGGCCGAGTCAATCCTCGAGGCCTGCGGCCTCACGGAGGATCAGATCACTCTTTCCACGATTGAGGAGCCCCTGCGTGTGCCTCAACCCATCGTTCCCACCTTCAAGGCTAATTGGCCCGTCAAGGCTGTTGCTCATTCATCATTCGAAAAGGCTCTGCTTGGAGAGGTGGGTGAGGTCGATGATGAGGTCGCTGCCATCGAGTTTGAGCCCGAGGAAGAAGGTGAGGTTGCTGCCGCGCGTGATACCTTCGAGGACGAAGAGGAGGATGTCGCCGGATGGGATATGGGAGACGAGATCAATGTCGAAGAGGACGCCGAGTTCGTCGATGTCGAAGGTGCAGAGGCTGGTGCTGGTGGCGCGGAAGCCGACCTTTGGGCTCGCAACTCCCCTCTTGCAGCGGATCATGTCGCTGCCGGCTCCTTCGAGACGGCCATGCAACTTCTCAATCGTCAAGTTGGTGCCGTCAACTTCGCCCCCTTGAAGCCCCGCTTCCTGGAAATCTACAAGGGCTCCAAGACCTATCTGCCCGCAAGTGCCGGTCTTCCCCCGTTAGTGAATTACGTACGCCGCACTGTTGAAGAGACGGACAGCCGCAAAGTTTTACCTGTCATCCCCAGAGATCTGGAGACAATTGCCAACGTCGACTTGCAAGAGGGTTACGCCGCGATGAGGGCCAACAAGCTTGAAGATGGTGTCAAGGTCTTCAAGGGTATCCTGCATTCAATCCTGCTGAATACCGTCTCTTCGGAGGCTGAAGTTGAGCAAGCGAAGAAGATCATCGCCACCGCGCGGGAGTACATCCTGGCCATGTCGATCGAGTTGGAGCGTCGTTCTCTCTCTACCGATACGCCCGAGGGTCTCAAGAGAAGTCTTGAGCTCTCGGCCTACTTCACCATCCCCAAGCTGGAAGTGGCCCACCGTCAGTTGGCACTGATGGCTGCTATGAAGTTTGCCTTTGCCAACAAGAACTATTCTTCCGCCCTCAGCTTCGCGAACCGCATGCTGGCTAACGGTGGCTCGCCCAAGCTTCTTGAGCAGGTAAGACATGGCCCCATCTCCTATCCAGATCCAGGGAGGTATACTGACTCCCTTAATAGGCCCGTAAGATCAAGTTGCAGAGCGAGCGCAGCGCGCAAGACAAGATTGACATTGAGTTCGACCAGTTCGCCGAATTCGACATCTGTGCTGCTTCGTACACGCCTATCTACGGTGGGTCCCCGAGTGTGTCGGACCCATTCACCGGAGCCAAGTACCACGAACAATACAAGGGCACGGTGTGTCGGATTTCGGAGGTAACGGAGATTGGGGCCCCGGCCAGCGGACTCCGGTTGTTTGTTCCCGGTCAGTATTGAGGATGACGATGACGAGCCTTGTTTTTTTTTATACTGTAATTCCCCGTCTCTTGATGTGCAGCTCTGATAGAAAACATGTTTCTTTTTCTACTGGTACGGCCGGGGGTGGGACCACCTCGGTTGCTTGCCCTCGATGTATGGATGGAACCTCTTCTGTTATCATAATTTCTCAGCGACCTTAGGACTCAAATCTTCTTCATACTTGTATCTCGTTTCTGGGGAACGTTCCGTAGTTCCCTACCGTGGTGTGAAAAAAAGGAAGATGAGAATGAGGCGAGATGATAATCACATTTAAATCCTCCCAACTCCACTTCAGAAGACAAGAGTAGAGAACCGAGGCCTTCCTGTGCTATGCGAAGAAGAAAAATAGTATACAAAAACAGCCCCAGCACTTACAGCGCTATTCACATATCCCAAGATTTACACATCCCACCCTGACTGCCGTAAATCCAACAAGCAACTACCAAGTAAAGAACACCTCCCCGACAACAAGCCCCCTCCCCTCTTCCCCAAGGTTTATCCAGTACTCAATCACACCGCCCATCCTTCCACCCCGTGCGCCACCTCTCCTCCCAGAACCGACAATCGAACTCATCCTTGCCCAGCTTCCGATTCACCTCGTTGTGCGCCCGGCACATCCAGTCCCCGAACTCTTTGCGGCCGGCCAGCCGCGGCGCGTTCTGCCCGCTGGGCTCGGCCATCCAGGTGCGGAAATCGTCCGCGCACACCCAGCACGGGTACAGCCGCGAGAAGATGCCCAGGAACGTGCGCATCTCCGTCTGCTGCTCCGGCGACGCCTGCGCCGGGTACGAGGCCGTCAGCGAGTGCAGGAAGGTCCAGGTGGAGCGGCCTAGTTCCTCGACGTCTGGGGGGCATTGGTTGTATTTTTGGGAGGTGGGGTTTGAGGGAATGGTGGATGGTGCGGGTGCGGGTGTGGCAGTGGCTTTGGCTTTTTGGGTTAGGGCGCGCCAGGAGGCGGCGGAGGTGCAGAGGCGGCATCTTTTTTTTTGGGGTGTTAGTATTCGGAGGAGGAGGAAGTGTGTGTATGGTTTGAGGGGTTTGAGGAGGTTGGGGGGCAAAGTGAAATAGGGGGGTGCTTCTGATGGTTGGATGCGCTGCGCTGGACATACGGTTTGCCTTCTTTGTCGAGGATGACTCCATTCGGGAGCTTGGTGTACCCCGGGGGTACGTGTTCGTCCTTGTTGCTGGTATCCTTTGGTTGGGATGACGATGCCGACGAGGAGGAGGAGCTGGCTGTGGCTGTGGCTGCTGTGGCTGCGGGGAATTGGAACTGATGCGTGAAGAGCTTCTTTTGCGGCGTTGATTGCGACGCTGTCTCTGTTGCGTCGGGGTGGGTTTCGGACATGATGCCGGTGGGGAGATTTATGTGGTGGTGAGAGGGAGTAGGGACTGCAAGATGATGGAATTGCTATGTTACAAAAGATGCATAATCAATCAGAAACAGAGTGTGCACGAACCAAAATCAAAGAATCAGAGTCTATACAGAAAAGAAAAGAAAGTTAAGGTATAGTTGAAGACCCGGCGAGAGAATCTCGCTGATTGGTAATAATCGTAATAGTGCCCTCGATCTCCGACTTTATCGAAGACCGCCAATCCCCGATAAGCGGCTTTGTCAGCGGTCGCGCGGTGCAATTGGGAAACTAAACTCTCCGACCGAAGCCAACCGAGCAAGCTCCGTGAGGCAGGGGTTCTAGATGCAAGCTGGTTCAGGTGTCTCTCCTTGACAATCGTTCAATCGACCTCCCATTAAGCTTGTTTCATTCTAGCCGTGACACAACTGTCGATCTTCTCGCTTCCTGATCTACTTGCGGCGGTTGTATTCTGCCTCTCATCGCGTCCGCCTGGCGCGCGGCCACTTCCCGCCGTTCCATCCCCCCCCCCCCACACGCAGCGGACATCTACACACACCCGACGTCGGGCATTTGACTCGGGGTAAAGTCGAGACATCCAAAGCGCAACGATGGCCCCAAAATACGCGCTGTCGGAGTCTGAGTCCGAGCCCGAGTCGGCAGCCGGCCGTCCAGACATTCCGTCCGATGACGCGCTGGAACAAGCTTTACGCGACACCGTCGCCGATATCTACAAATCGGGCAATTTAGAGGAATTGACCGTCAAGCGGGTACGCCTCGCGGCAGAAAAGGCGCTTAAGCTCGACGCGGGATTCTTCAAGACACAAGGCGACTGGAAAGCTAGAAGTGAAGAGGTCATTCGCGATCAAGTGGTTGGTCTCTCCGTGTCTCTCATATTATGACGCCATTGCACTTCCTTCTCTGTTTGTTGTGTTTAGAATCGCGCTCTAATGTCTCAATTTCTGCATAGGAGGTCGAAGAGAAAGCCGCCGAAAGATCGGCCCCAGAAAAGAACGATAGCGACTCTGAAAGTGAACTGTCCTCGCTGTCCTCACTGTCCTCAGAAGACACGAAGCCCGCCAAGAGAACGAAATCGACTGGCACCGCCGCATCGCGCAAACGCCAGAAAACCAGTCCTTCGGACGCAGATGAAGGTGAAAGTTCCAATATTGAGGATGAGGATCATGAAGATGAAGTAAAGCCTTCCACGAAAAGGCAAACAAAGACCGCCACCAAGAACAAGACCAAGCCTAGCGAAGAGTCCGCCTCTGATGACTCTGCTGACGCCGCCAACGGGAAAGAAGATCAGTCAGAAGATAAAGTCAGCTCCGAAAGTGAGATGTCGGTAGTTCTTGATGAAGAGCCGAAACCCGTTCGCAAGCGACAGAAGAGCGCCGAGACATCCTCGCGAAAAGGAAAGAAAGCGGCGCCGGCCAAGGGCAAAGATGCGGATCAGGATGCCAATCAAGCGGAGATCAAACGGCTGCAGGGCTGGCTGATTAAATGCGGGATCCGCAAGATGTGGGCGAGGGAGCTGGCTCCTTTCGGCACTCCCATGGCCAAGATCAAACACCTCAAGGATATGTTGAAGGAGGCTGGCATGGAAGGGCGTTACTCGGTGGAGAAAGCGAACCGCATCCGTGAGGAGCGGGAGCTCAAAGCCGACCTCGAGCTGGTGCAAGAAGGGGCAAAGCGATGGGGGAAGGAGGCTGGGAGCGACGATAGTGAGGACAGTCGGCCTAGACGGAGATTGAACCGGGGACGTCGAGGTCTAGCCTTCTTGGAAGGTGAGGATGGTGAGGAGACAGACTGATGGTGTTGCATGGATGTTGCTACCTTGTGCCAGCGACTTTTTCCAGGGCAGGCTCTGGATTATCAAGGTGTTTAAGAGTATGAGCTGTATGAGATACCACTGGCATTTCCGTTGCGTTCATTGTTCATTTTCCCGACTTCGTTCCGCCCATTCGTTGAGCCACCAAGCTGAAGACAGCGACCGAAGAGATAAAGAGGACAAGATTGTAGAACTGTATAAAGAATCCATGAGTCTGAAGTTCCGATCCTTTTTATTGGCATTGAGAGCGCTCGAGGAATGCATACCGCAGTTCTGGAGTGCTCGTTCTCTTCGGCCTCGGTGCGGGCCTCGACGAACAGGCGTCGGAGATTAGGGAGATTCGCCTGGTTTTGGTAAAGAAAGTTAAGCGATGTTGTCATAATTGCGCATTGACGGTATTTTATGTAGTGGTTATAGTAACCTACCATAGGTTTCGTATGCTGCAATGGATATGGCAGCAAACAGACTGAACTTGGAAGAGGAATCCTTTTTTAATGGGATCATAAGAAGTGATATGTACGGGGTAGGAAGTACGAGGCAGTCCAGACCGCCGGGGAAAGGAATTAAGGTGCCCATGGTTGATGGTTGCGCTTAGTCGGGCGCCGCGTTGTGCGGATTGGCTGTGGTCCATGATGGGGACACTGGGCTCCCTCCGTCCCTCTCCCTCCTGATCATCAACCTACTACCTTGACTACTTCTCTCCTCCCTCCATTCTTCCCACTCTCACTCTCTTCGTTCCCTTCTTTGCACTGAATATATTTTCATTTATACTTCTGTTCCCTCCTGTCATTTCGGCACGGAGGAGAAAGAGAGTGTGTGAGAGCTCTCGCTTCCCCGCTCTAATTCTCCCGTCTGCGGCTCACCCTGAAAGCTCTCGCAATTCCCCGCAGTCTCCTGCATTCCCTCCTCCGACTTCAACTTCCACCAGCGGAGGCGCGACTAGGTCGTCGCTAGACATTTCTTGGCACAATGGCGATGAGTAGGATTCGGGGGGCCTTTGCGGTCCCCAGGAAAGGAGAGACTTTTGAATTGCGATCTGGTCTTGTGTATGCTATCTATCTGTCCTGTCCAAGCCGATGAATCGATACTGACGCTCGTTAACCTTCAGGTCCCAGTATGCATACGAACGGTACGTCACACGCATATCCTCTTGCAGATAAATGGCAGCATAATTTGGTCGGCGCAATCAATCTAATACACCCTTAGCAAGGAGTCAATTCAGAAGACCATCATGGCCATGACGCTGGGCAAGGATGTTTCCTCTCTATTCCCGGATGTTCTCAAGAACATTGCGACTAGCGATCTTGAACAAAAGAAGCTGGTTTATCTTTACCTCATGTGGGTTTCCTTAGCATCGCTTGGTTATTCGAGCTTGACGCTGATTGTCTTTCGCGGCCGACAGGAACTACGCCAAATCTCACCCCGACCTATGCATTCTCGCCGTCAATACTTTTGTTCAAGATTCCGAAGATCCCAATCCTTTAATCAGAGCCCTTGCCATTCGAACGATGGGGTGCATCCGGGTGGACAAAATGGTGGATTACATGGAGGAACCGCTGCGGAAGACCCTCCGGGACGAGTCGCCCTATGTCCGCAAGACCGCGGCCATCTGCGTTGCCAAACTTTTCGATCTGAATCCTGCTATGTGCTTGGAGAACGGCTTTCTGGAGATGTTGCAGGAGATGATTGGAGATCCCAATCCTATGGTCGTCGCCAACTCGGTGACTGCTCTGTCGGAAATCTACCACGCTGCTCCCGAAACACAGGCCTTGAAGGTAACCACCAACACACTGCGCAAGCTTCTTATGGCCCTGAATGAGTGCACGGAATGGGGTCGCGTCACGATCTTGACGACTCTTGCGGAGTACAAAACGAGTGAAGTGACTGAGTCAGAGCACATCTGTGAGCGCGTTGCTCCTCAGTTCCAGCATGCCAACCCGAGTGTTGTGCTAGCTGCCGTCAAAGTCGTTTTCCTCCACATGAGAAACGTCAAGGCTGAGCTGGCTAGCAACTACCTGAAGAAAATGGCCCCTCCCCTAGGTAAGAATGCTTCGCCCGGGTAAAATTCTTTCCGTTTTCTGATGATGTCAAGTGACTCTGGTTTCGTCTGCTCCCGAGGTGCAGTATGTGGCTTTGAGAAACATCGATCTTTTGTTGCAAAAGCAGCCAGACATCCTGAACAAGGAACTCCGCGTCTTCTTCTGCAAGTATAACGACCCACCATACGTCAAGTTCCAGAAACTTGAGATCATGGTACGGATAGCCAACGACCGAAACGTTGACCAGCTCTTAGCCGAGCTCAAGGAGTACGCACTTGAGGTGGACATGGACTTTGTGCGCCGCGCCGTCCGGGCGATTGGTCAGGTTGCGATCAAAATCGAGGGCGCTAGTGAGAAGTGCGTCAACACGTTGCTGGACCTCATCAACACCAAGGTCAACTACGTGGTGCAAGAAGCTATTGTGGTGATCAAAGATATTTTCCGGAAGTACCCCGGCTATGAGGGTATCATCCCTACACTGTGCAAGTGTATTGATGAGCTAGATGAGCCGAATGCTCGTGCAGCACTCATTTGGATTGTTGGTCAGTATGCGGAGAAGATCAGCAATGCGGGTGACATTCTGGCTGGCTTTGTGGAAGGTTTCAATGAAGAATTCTCCCAGGTATGGCACTCCCTTATGACAAGACAAATGCTGTATACTGATTGCCGCGACCTGTTTAGACCCAGCTGCAAATCCTGACGGCTGTTGTCAAGCTCTTCTTGAAGCGGCCTGAGAAGGCCCAAGGCCTCGTCCAGAAAGTGCTGCAGGCAGCCACTGCTGAGAACGACAATCCCGATGTGCGCGACCGAGCCTATGTCTACTGGCGCTTACTATCCAATACCAGTGATCCCGGAGCTACTAAGGATATTGTCCTGTCTGACAAGCCTCCAATTGTGACCACTATTCATTCTCTGCCGCCTGCCCTTCTTGAGCAGCTGCTCACTGAGCTGTCGACTCTTGCATCAGTCTACCACAAGCCCCCAGAGCAGTTTGTCGGTCAAGGAAGGTTCGGCGCCGACGCTGTCCAGAGAGCCGCTATCGAGTATGTCTCAACCCATTTCATTCATTCATGTCTACGTCGGGCTAACCACTGGCTTCAGGGAACAAATTCAAAACGCACGCGAGAACCCACTGGCCGCTGCTGCGGCTGCAGCCGCGGTCACTGGCAGCGCGCCCCCTCCCCAGAGTCAGAGCAACGTCGAGAATCTACTGGACATCGATTTCGATGGAACTGCGCCGGCTTCGGCTCAAAAAGAGCCCAGTGGTGGAATGTCTGGTCTCGAAGGTCTTGCCGGAACGCCAGTGCGAGTGGAATCGCCTGCTGCAGGTGCTCCTGCTGGAAGCAACAATTTAGACGATCTCTTGGGGGTCTTCGGCGATGGTGGAGGCGCACCGGCCCCGGCCAGCAGCAGCGCGGGGGCTGGAGCCGATTTGATGAACGGTTTTGCCGGCCTGGATTTGTCAGGCAATGACACGACGTCGCCGCCTCCTGGAGGCAGTCAACCAAAGAAAACCAACGAAGATATTATGTCGTTATTCTAAGAAAGCAGGGCTATGGCTTTCCGATGGTGAACATCGCCGCGGGGCTGGGAGGGAAGGAGATCAAGGAGGCAAGCGCTTGACAAAAGCACACATAATTCGCAATCCAGGCATTTTCACATAGAATCTCTCGTCCTTCTATCTTGGCGCGACCAAGCTGAATGATCCAAATATTTACTCTTTATGTTTGTACTTTCCCCCTCCTTGCTTCGTTTCGTCGGTGACTTCATGTCCCAACTTATCTGTATATCCCATTCACCTGAGGCTCTGAGCATAATTGCTCTGGTCGTTTCCTCTGAGCTCTTACAACTCTTCCAACCGGCTATTACACGCCTGTTTTAGTCTTTAGTCTGTCTCACTTTTGTGGCGATCTCGGGATGTCCACTGGGGCGAACGAGCCGTGGGCATGTCAATTATTTGAGAACCAGCCTTATTATTATACTTCAATTCCTAGGGGAAAAAAGGCCCACACTGCGGCGATGTTTATATCTGACAGAAGGACCGGGTAAATTCTTAATCTGAAATGCACAGATGATTGAAATTAGACTAATCCGCCAGGCATGCCATTAGTGGAGCCATCTTACTGACGGCGTGAGTCACAGCGAAAGATCCATAAAGTCCCCCAGTCCACGCCACTTCTCCCCTCACTCCTCCCGACTTTGTTACGCTTTTTTTCATATTCTGCAAACATTCCAGGCATAGCAAGATGGAGCATCTCAAAAGAACCTTTGCTCAATGCCAAAAAGAGGGCCGTCCGGCCCTGGTGACCTATGTCACTGCCGGCTTTCCGACAGCCGCGGAAACCCCAGATATCATGCTGGCCATGCAAGCTGGAGGCGCAGGTGAGTTGCCATCAGTACGTATAGCAATTGATGCGACGGAGTATTGATCCTTTTTTTTTTACCCTAGATGTCATTGAACTCGGCCTTCCATTCACAGACCCCATTGCCGATGGACCTACCATCCAAAAATCAAACCTTAAAGCCCTCGAAAATGGGGTTACAATTACTTCCATGTTGCAAATGGTGAAAGATGCACGCCAGCAGGGCCTGCGCATCCCCGTCCTCTTCATGGGATACTATAACCCGGTTCTGCGCTTTGGTGAAACCGCCCTGCTTGCAGAATGCAGAGAAGCCGGCGTGAATGGATTCATTATAGTTGATCTACCGCCGGAGGAAGCTGTTCGATTCCGCGACCAATGTCGGGATGCCGGGTAAGCTGCCTACTACCATTCCGGTTGCTAGACAACGGGGTACAGTACCGCTAACGCCTGTCGTGGTCATCTTATAGCCTCTCATATGTTCCCTTGATTGCCCCGTCCACGACTGAAGACCGTATGAAGACGCTTTGCGGGATTGCCGACACATGGATCTATCTGGTGTCCCGCATGGGCGTCACTGGAGCCACTGGTACTCTGAACAACCAGCTTCCCGACTTGATGAAGCGGGTCAAGGATCTCTCTGGTGGAGTCCCGGTGGCCGTCGGCTTTGGCATCAGCACCCGTGAGCATTTTCTGGGCGTGACCTCCGTCGCCGATGGCGCGGTAATTGGTAGCGAGATCATCAATCAGCTGGCGAATGCCCCTGCTGGACAGGGAGCTCGCACGATTGAGGAGTATTGCGCACAGATCACGGGCCGACGAGTCCCTCGCACAGCAGCAGATGAGCCATCCTCTAGCCTGTCGACAGCCGCTGTTTCTGCTTCGAAGGAGAAAGAGCCTACACAGTCACCAGCCGCAAATGAAGTTGGTCCAGCGTCCGAACGTGGCCGCTTCGGCAAATTTGGTGGACAATACGTCCCGGAGGCGCTGACGACGTGTCTCAACGAACTGGAGGCCGGCTTCCAGGCTGCGCTGGATGATCCGGCCTTTTGGGAAGAGTATCGCTCTTATTACCCTTACATGGGTCGGCCGTCGACGCTACACCGCGCGACGCGCTTGACCGAATCCGCGGGCGGCGCGAATATCTGGCTCAAGCGCGAGGATCTGAATCACACGGGTTCTCACAAGATCAACAACGCCCTGGGCCAGATCCTGATCGCGCGGCGACTGGGCAAGACCGAGATCATCGCCGAGACCGGGGCGGGCCAACACGGCGTGGCCACGGCGACGGTCTGCGCGAAGTTCGGCATGAAATGTACCGTCTACATGGGCGCGGAGGATGTCCGTCGGCAGGCGTTGAATGTCTTCCGCATGCGCCTGCTGGGCGCCACCGTGGTGCCGGTCGAGGCAGGCTCGCGCACCCTCCGGGACGCCGTCAACGAGGCGTTCCGGGCCTGGATCACGCGGCTGGACACGACACATTATATTATCGGGTCCGCCATCGGGCCGCATCCATTCCCGACGATCGTGCGGACCTTCCAATCCGTGATCGGGACCGAGACCAAGGCGCAGCTGCAGCAGGAGATCGGGAAATTGCCCGACGCGGTGGTGGCCTGTGTGGGCGGTGGATCAAATGCCGTGGGCATGTTCTACCCGTTCGTCGAGGATGGTTCGGTGCAGCTGGTGGGCGTGGAGGCCGGCGGCGATGGTCAGGCGAAGCACTCGGCGACTCTCGGCGGCGGCAGCGTCGGGGTCCTGCATGGCGTGCGCACATATGTCCTCCAGGACCGCCATGGGCAGATCACGGACACGCATTCCGTCTCCGCTGGCCTCGACTACCCGGGCGTCGGACCGGAGCTGGCGTCGTGGAAGGATAGCAATCGCGCGACCTTCATCGCGGCCACGGATGCGCAGGCGCTCGAGGGATTCCAGCTGCTCAGTCAACTCGAGGGGATCATCCCGGCGCTGGAGTCCTCGCATGCTGTCTGGGGCGTGATGCAGGTGGCTCGCCAGCTGGGACCTGGGAAGGATATCGTGCTCTGCTTGAGTGGTCGCGGTGATAAGGATGTGCAGACGGTCATGGATGAACTGCCTCAGTATGGGGGAAATAAGTGATGGAGCTGCTGTGTAGAATATCCAAAAGTTGAATCATATGGAACCTAGCTTGCAAGTGTAGGTTACTATTACTTGTAATTGCTTTTTTGGTTGTGTCTGATCTCTCTATTGTCGTACTGGATGTGCTGGATGTCTGTCTGTGGTTGGTGGTTGGTAGACCAGTTGGCGGGCGATAAGAGAGCGATCCGCTTTTTCCGCTGCCTTCATTTTGATTTCTACTTTCCTCGTCTTCTCGGGCTGCCGCAGTGGATCCAGTGGTCCTCCTTGACTAATGACGATGGAGCCAGCATCAATCAAGTTGGAGAAAAAGCAGTTGGAGTCCTCGAACGCCATTGAGTGATTTCCTTGCGTCAGAGACCGTGTCGAATCCCGCGATGGGTACGGAATCAAAGCATCAGGCGATACTACGAGTATCTCGATTGTGATTCAAACACCAGACCACGAAAGCGTGCCCTGAAACTTCCTCAATGAAAATCCTCTTCCGATCCCGACAATCGTCTATCGGCTTTCTATCCGAAGCAGCATCCCCGATTTCCAAACGCTTTTTTACCCGTATCAGGTACTGTTTCTGCAGATTTCTAAGCATTTGGCGAGCGACCCATAGGGCAAAGACTCCGCTGGAGCCAGTCAATGAGATGAGTAGCTTCTTGTTGCCCCATCGCCCGTGCAAAGCCCATGGATTTGGCTCTCTTTCAGTCTCCATGCTTCTTTCCTTCGGCCTCCTTCTTGGCTTTTCCGTCCCAGTGGATCTTCTCAGGGTTTGAGTTGACTTCACAGGAAAACTTCCCCCAACTCGGAAATTTGTGTCGAAAAGTGGATCGATCAAGGAAACGGAACCCGCGATGGCTTTGTTCTCGGGCGATAACGCATATAAGTTGGAGGGGATATCCCCTCGGTCTTCCCTCGAGGCCTTTTACACGCACATTAAGGAACCGGTCCTTTGAAGTGACACCAGACTTTCATCATGACTGACTACAAGTTCGAAGGATGGATGGGCCTCGACAAGGACTCGGTCGACGGCAAGATGGTCTGGCAGGAGTTTGAGCCCAAGCCGTGGGAAGAGACCGATGTCGACATCAAGGTCTCTCATTGCGGTATCTGTGGTTCCGATCTTCACACTCTGCACAGTGGATGGGTAAGTCCTTCCCCTGGTCTTTCTATCGTTGTTCTTTTTCTTCTTCTGCGTCAATTGTGATTGTTTAGCTACCATGTCCCGTATATACTGATCCGCCAAACAACAGAAGCCAACCCTCTACCCCTGCTGTGTCGGCCATGAGATCGTCGGTGTCGTCGTCCGCGTCGGCTCCCAGGTCAGCGACATCAAGCTCGGGGACCGCGTCGGTGTCGGCGCGCAGAGCGATTCCTGCCAGGGCCGTCTCGGCGACTGCGCCGAGTGCGCCATGGGCTGGGAGCAGTACTGCCCCCACAAGTGGGTGGGCACCTACAACAGCGTCCACCTCAACGGCGGCAAGTCCTACGGCGGCTATGCGCTGTACAACCGCGTCCCCGCCCGATTCGCCATCAAGATCCCCGACGGCATCCCCTCCGCCGAGGCCGCCCCCATGCTGTGCGGCGGTGTCACCCTCTACAGCCCGCTGAAGCACAACGGCTGCGGCCCCGGCAAGCGCGTCGGTATCATCGGTGTCGGTGGCCTGGGCCACTTCGGTGTCATGTTCGCCAAGGCGATGGGCGCCGACAAGGTCGTCGCTATTTCGCGCAAGGCGGGCAAGGCGGCGGATGCCTTGAAGATGGGCGCGGATCTGTACATCGCTACGGATGATGAGCCCGATTGGGCCACCAAGTACGCCAAGTCGTTGGATTTGATCATCTCCACTGTTTCATCCACGAAGGTATCTTCCCAGATCTTTATTCCCTATCGGGTTTGGATGTGTGTGTGTGTGGAAAAAGGGTAATTTACTAATGCTCGTCGTGTACAGATGCCCATGGAACAGTACGTCGGTCTGCTGGCGGTCAATGGTACTCTGTGCCAGGTCGGTCTGCCGGAGGATGGCACCCTGGTGGCGCCCGTTAAGCCTCTCATCCGTCGGCTGAAGGTGACTAGCTCGTTGGTTGGCAGCCCTGATGAGATCCGCGAGATGTTCCAGCTGGTTCTGAACAAGGGCGTCAAGCCTTGGATCGAGGAGGTCCCGATGAAGAATGCCAATGAAGCCATTGTCAACATGCATGCTGGCAAGGCCAGGTACCGCTACGTGTTGGTTAATGAGGAGCACTAGACGGACTGGGCTTGGTGATGAGTTATGACGAATGTTTAGACTGTATAATGTGTTACTAGTAGTAGTGAGATGGTTACCCATAGATGAACCTGCAGGTCTGATAGAGAGTCAGTCTAGTACGCACTCGTAGTAGCCCGGGTCTTGGCTGCGGCAGGCTTGCAATTTACATACTCCAATAGACACGCCACGTGATCGTCTCCGCCATCGGAGCCACTAATCCCAAAGCAGCAGGCAACCCCTCCGAATTTCTTCTTTGGGCGAGTGAATCATCGCCTCTTGTCTTCGCCCCCCTCACTCTCCCTCACTCTCACTCTCGCTCTCTTCATATTCCTCTGTTTTGTCGCTGGGATTCTTGTCAGAAGAGGCTCTGACTCGCAATTGAGTGTCTTCTTTGTTCTATCTCCTTTCTTTTCTCCCCCATCATATCTCCAATCATCATGTCGCATACTCTGTCGCAAAAATATTTGAGCACGCGGGGTGCCTCCTACGGAGTATGGCAACAAATCCCTACAAACAGCAATTTTCGATTCAATGGCTAATCTGTCCTGATCTTGCATTCAGCTCTCCTTCGAGGAGGTCGTCCTGAAGGGTCTGGCCTCTGATGGCGGTCTCTTCATCCCCGAGGAGATCCCCTCCCTCCCCGCTAACTGGGAGTCCGAATGGCGCAATCTGAGCTTCGAGGAGATCGCCTTCCGTATCATGTCTCTCTACATCTCCGAGTCCGAAATCCCCCGCAACGACCTCGAAGACATCATCCGCCGCTCCTACGCCACCTTCCGTCACCCCGAACGCACTCCCACCATCGAACTCGACGGCAAGCAGAACCTCCACCTGCTCGAGCTCTTCCACGGTCCCACCTTCGCTTTCAAGGATGTCGCGCTTCAGTTCCTCGGTAACCTGTTCGAGTACTTCCTCGTGCGCAAGAATCAGGGCAAGGAGGGCAAGGACCGTCACCACCTGACTGTCGTGGGAGCCACCAGCGGCGACACCGGCTCCGCCGCCATTTACGGTCTGCGCGGCAAGAAGGACGTCTCCATCTTCATCATGTTCCCCAAGGGCAAGGTCTCCCCGATCCAGCAGGCCCAGATGACCACCGTGCTGGACGCCAACGTGCACAACCTCACTGTCGAGGGCTCCTTCGACGACTGCCAGGACTTCGTCAAGGCTCTGTTCGCTGACCCCGAGCTCAACTCCACCCACAATCTCGCGGCCGTGAACTCCATCAACTTCGCCCGCATCCTCGCCCAGATCTCCTACTACTTCTACTCCTACCTGTCTCTCACCAAGTCCCCCTCCTTCAACAAGGACTCCAAGCTGCGCTTCGTGGTCCCCTCCGGCAACTTCGGCGACATCCTCGCCGGCTGGTTCGCCAAGCGCATGGGTCTCCCTGCGGAGCGCCTGGTCATCGCGACCAACGAGAACGACATCCTGGACCGCTTCTTCCGCAGCAGCGGTGCCTACACCAAGAACGACGCCAACGGCACCGGCGTCAAGGAGACCCACAGCCCGGCCATGGACATCCTGGTCAGCAGCAACTTCGAGCGCCTCCTCTGGTTCCTCGCCTACCAGAGCAGCGACGCCGCCTCGGCTGACGCGCGCCGCAAGCAGGCTTGCGACAGCGTCAGCGGCTGGCTCCAGCAGCTCAAGTCCGAGGGCGGCTTCCAAGTCTCGCCCGCCGTCTTCGCGGGCGCCCAGGCCGAGTTCGAGTCCGAGCGCGTCAGCAACGACGAGACCATCGCCCAGATCCGCGACACCTACCGCACCTCCTTCCCGGCCAACCTGGGCCCCGGCAGTGCCAAGAGCTCCAAGACCGGCGGCTACATCCTTGACCCCCACTCCGCCATCGGCGTCGCCGCCGCTCGCCGCTCCATCCAGCGCAACCCCGGCGCCGTCCACATCTCCCTCTCCACCGCCCACCCTGCCAAGTTCGCCAGCGCCGTCGACCTCGCCCTGCGCGCCGAGGACGGCTACGACTTCACCGAGGTCCTGCCCCAGGAGTTCATCGGCCTGGAGCAGCGCGAGAGCCGCGTCACCGCCGTCGGCCCTGGGGCTGGATGGGAGCAGGTCCGCGAGATCGTCAAGGCCGAGGTCGAGCAGGAGTTGGAGGGTAAGCGGTAGATGTGGCTTGCTTGTGTCATAGACAACTAAAAAGAAAGATCTTTGTGTTTGCATCTTACTTCCAGTGTCATATTTCCCCCTTCCGCATCATCGATCCTATATATGTTCATGACGATAAGTTTCTTATTAGGCTTTTTCTTGCCTCTACTGTGATATCATAAAAGCTACATCGAAAGATATGACATGAATTCTGCCTCGATTTTGGGCATCCTACTCTTCGACTATTCCTTCCCTTGGTTACTATTCGCATTGTATGATGAGCGGGTGGATAGGAGACTATCCATACATACATCAAAAGATCATACACAGATAAGAATGGTTTACTCTTCTACCTTGATTAATTCTGTGCTATCCTTCGCCTCTATGTCTCTATAACTTTAGTCCTACTACTCTTTTTCTGCTAACATATATTTTAGACCGCTGCAAGAAGTAACAGTGCACCTGACTACCCAACTAGATAATCTAGTACTGCTATCTGTCTTCTTCTCTAAATATACCCTACGTACACTGCATGTACATCTTATAGAACCCAGTTACAGAATAGTCCTCTTCACATCTACTTGAAACGAAACCATACTTGGCTGATACTTTAGTTACTATTCATACCCTATCTCCATTCACAGCTACTTTATACTATACCCTCATAGGGAATAGTGCTACTTAATAGCAACCTTACTTACCATCTAATTCGATTGTTAGATCTCGTACCCTACTCAGTAATTGACACACCTCTGCCTCTACCATTACCAGTTGCAGAATTCTGCCCTCTCTCAGATCTACTATGATTTGTATAATCTACCCCCCCCTAACGATACTTACTTCCTCTTCTACTATATCATTTAACTTGTCTTCTCTGTTCTCTTCCTCTTTTTCTTCCTTCCTCCTTTCTCTCCCAATTTCCTTCTGGCTATACTCCTAACATCCTTCCTCTAATTTATACTCTTCTATTGGGTTTCTTCTCCACCGCCCTTCTTCCTACCTTTCCCTCCTCCAGTGTAATACTAATATCACCTTCCACCCTTATTACTAAAGTAGAGGGTTGAGTTACCCGGCCAGTTCTCCAGTCTCCACAGTAAACGTAACAGTCTCCTACTAAGGTAAGTATCGCCCCTTCTATACATCTCTATACATTTATATCGCTCGTGGCCAATTCTACCCTAGCTTCTTTGCTAAGATCTATATAATCTTGACTAGTACTCGACCGCTTGATTCTCAATCATACACAGTAGACCAAGGCCGAATATGTGTTAAGATACCATCCCAGTCGCGGGATAGTAGCAACTATTCCCCTTCCAAAAAGACCAACTGGTGCCTGATAGTTCCAAGTCGGTTGCCACCAGTTATAAGAGGGTCCATGAAAAACACCCCATGGGAAACCTTACAAATCGTGACGAGTATGTTTGTTGTACTATGTATCTAGGTGGGTGGTTTTTCCAGCAGCCCTAACCTAATCCTTTGCCAATCCGAAACTAGGGCTAAGCCTTGAGACCTATCTCTATGCCACTTTATTTTCACAATGGTGATGTAAAGGGTTTGCGTGCGACCAGCTTGGGCCGTTTGACTTTTTCTAAATATGCCGTATCTCGACTAGCATTTGGGGAATATAAGGACGATGCAGAAGGGTGGGCAGAGTTCTACTCCCTGATACATACACATGCGAGTCATAGGGTGAGGGATGGTAACGGCATCACCACGTCAGGGATTGTCATGGGATCTAACTATGGGACTCATGCACGCTGCTTGAATATGCTGATCGTTCCCTATCGTGGAGTTTTTATTTTGTCGGCCTGATATCATTGGGTTGCATTTGATTCTTCAACTACTCAGTACTCATACTCATAGTATCTACTCGTAGGACCCACAGACGAAACTCCCCCACCTCCCCCTATTGTCTCCGAGGTGGCTGTACTGGGTTGGGTAAAAGACTACGTAAGATGCAACCCCTTCCGTTTCCGGGATATATGATTACGCACTCGCGGCAGTGGCGATGTGACAGGTTTTGACTATGATAGTAGGAAGACAAGAGAAAGAAATTGAGCCAGCAAGAAATGCATCGAAGCTACGTGAAAGAGAGAGTGCAGGCTTGAAAAGTGATTTCAATAAAAAAAGAGAAATGCCATTTTTATTCCACGTACCGTACTCATTATATATTATTAAACTAGTAGGTAAAAAGAACTGCCAATGAATATCAACCAGGAGCTGAGCACAGTGTATCTTGTCGCTCACCCCGGTGCGCCTGACTGTGTCTTAAGTCGTAGTCCTGAATCATAATCATAGAACAGTCCTTCTTTCTTCATGACATAGGAAAAAAAAACCCAACGATGTAGCAAAAGTCCAAAACCAAACTCCAAGCACCGATTGTTTTGATTTGATAGTATCTTCGTTTGGTCAGAGGGGAAGATGAGTGGCTCTATCAATTCATTGCTGAAGATGGAGGTGTCATCTACAGAAGGGCCATCAGACCCATGACAGCGGCGAGAAGACCGGCCACGGGCTGCATCTTGGAAGCAGCGCCGGTAAGGCTCGAGGCCGAAGGCTCCGCTGGGGAGACGCCGGTGGGCTGCTCGGGAGTCGAGGTGCCAGCAGGAGCAACAGGGCTCGAACCCTCAGGAGCAGCAGGGCTGGAGCCCTCAGGAGCAGCAGGGCTGGAGCCCTCAGGAGCGGCAGGAATGACAGGGCTGGAGCCCTCAGGAGCGGCAGGGCTAGCAGGGGTGGAAGAGCCAGGAGCGCCAGGAGCGCCAGGGGTAGAAGAGCCAGGAGCGCCAGGAGCACCAGGGGTGGAGGAGCCAGGAGCACCAGGAGCACCAGGGGT